TTTTTTTAAAGAAAATACAGTAAAAATGCTTCACTTTAACGGCGCAGATTCCTTTAAATGCGATACACCTGGACATTATAAATTGATGTATAGGTAGATATAACACTAATCTATAGATTTAATCACATTTGAAGATACATCTGTGTGTTTAAAGTTGATTTTGACCGCCCTGGCCAAGTCGGACCCGACACAAGCCAAACACTTCTGATAGAGACTATGTTGAGAATGTAGAGGGAAAAGGGCTTCACTTTAAGCCCCATGTTTTCTATAAATACTGCGATCTGTGACATTATAAAGTGGTGTATAGGTAGATATAACACTAATCTATAGATTTAATCACATTTGTAGATACATCTGTGTGTTTAAAGTTGATTTTGACCGCCCGGGCCAGGTCGGACCGAACATTTCTGACTTGGAATTTATAAAGAAAATACAGTAAAAATGCTTCACTTTAAGGGCGCAGATTTCTTTAAATGCGATACACCTGGACATTATAAATTGGTGTATAGGTAGATATAACACTAATCTATAGATTTAATCACATTTGAACATACATCTGTGTGTTTAAAGTTGATTTTGACCGCCCGGGCCAAGTCGGACCAAACACAAGCCAAACACTTCTGATAGAGACTATGTTGAGAATGTAGAGGGGAAAAGGGCTTCACTTCGAGCCCCTTGTTGTCTATAAATACTGCAATCTGTGACATTATAAAGTGGTGTATAGGTAGATATAATACTAATCTATAGATGTGAATCCATTTGATGATACATCTGTGAGGTTAAAGTGGATTTTAACAGCCCGGGCCAGGTCGGACCGAACATTTCTGACTTGGTTTTTTTAAAGAAAATACAGTAAAAATGCTTCACTTTAACGGCGCAGATTCCTTTAAATGCGATACACCTGGACATTATAAATTGATGTATAGGTAGATATAACACTAATCTATAGATTTAATCACATTTGAAGATACATCTGTGCGTTTAAAGTTGAATTTGACCGCCCGGGCCAAGTCGGACCCAACACAAGCCAAACACTTCTGATAGAGACTATGTTGAGAATGTAGAGGGGAAAAGGGCTTCACTTCGAGCCCCTTGTTGTCTATAAATACTGCAATCTGTGACATTATAAAGTGGTGTATAGGTAGATATAATACTAATCTATAGATGTGAATCCATTTGATGATACATCTGTGAGGTTAAAGTAGATTTTAACAGCCCGGGCCAGGTCGGACCGAACATTTCTGACTTGGATTTTTTAAAGAAAATACAGTAACAATGCTTCACTTTAAGGGCGCAGATTTCTTTAAATGCGATACACCTGGACATTATAAATTGGTGTATAGGTAGATATAACACTAATCTATAGATTTAATCACATTTGTAGATACATCTGTGCGTTTAAAGTTGAATTTGACCGCCCGGGCCAAGTCGAACCAAACACAAGCCAAACACTTCTGATAGAGACTATGTTGAGAATGTAGAGGGGAAAATGGCTTCACTTCGAGCCCCTTGTTGTCTATAAATACTGCAATCTGTGACATTATAAATTGGTGTATAGGTAGATATAACACTAATCTATAGATTTAATCACATTTGAAGATACATCTGTGTGTTTAAAGTTGATTTTGACCGCCCTGGCCAAGTCGGACCCGACACAAGCCAAACACTTCTGATAGAGACTATGTTGAGAATGTAGAGGGAAAAGGGCTTCACTTTAAGCCCCATGTTTTCTATAAATACTGCGATCTGTGACATTATAAAGTGGTGTATAGGTAGATATAACACTAATCTATAGATTTAATCACATTTGTAGATACATCTGTGTGTTTAAAGTTGATTTTGACCGCCCGGGCCAGGTCGGACCGAACATTTCTGACTTGGAATTTATAAAGAAAATACAGTAAAAATGCTTCACTTTAAGGGCGCAGATTTCTTTAAATGCGATACACCTGGACATTATAAATTGGTGTATAGGTAGATATAACACTAATCTATAGATTTAATCACATTTGAAGATACATCTGTGTGTTTAAAGTTGATTTTGACCGCCCGGGCCAAGTCGGACCCAACACAAGCCAAACACTTCTGATAGAGACTATGTTGAGAATGTAGAGGGGAAAAGGGCTTCACTTCGAGCCCCTTGTTGTCTATAAATACTGCAATCTGTGACATTATAAAGTGGTGTATAGGTAGATATAATACTAATCTATAGATGTGATTCCATTTGATGATACATCTGTGAGGTTAAAGTGGATTTTAACAGCCCGGGCCAGGTCGGACCGAACATTTCTGACTTGGATTTTTTAAAGAAAATACAGTAAAAATGCTTCACTTTAAGGGCGCAGATTTCTTTAAATGCGATACACCTGGACATTATAAATTAGTGTATAGGTAGATATAACACTAATCTATAGATTTAATCACATTTGAAGATACATCTGTGCGTTTAAAGTTGAATTTGACCGCCCGGGCCAAGTCGAACCAAACACAAGCCAAACACTTCTGATAGAGACTATGTTGAGAATGTAGAGGGGAAAAGGGCTTCACTTCGAGCCCCTTGTTGTCTATAAATACTGCAATCTGTGACATTATAAATTGGTGTATAGGTAGATATAATACTAATCTATAGATGTGAATCCATTTGATGATACATCTGTGAGGTTAAAGTGGATTTTAACAGCCCGGGCCAGGTCGGACCGAACATTTCTGACTTGGATTTTTTAAAGAAAATACAGTAAAAATGCTTCACTTTAAGGGCGCAGATTTCTTAAAATGCGATACACCTGGACATTATAAATTGGTGTATAGGTAGATATAACACTATTCTATAGATTTAATCACATTTGTAGATACATCTGTGCGTTTAAAGTTGAATTTGACCGCCCGGGCCAAGTCGAACCAAACACAAGCCAAACACTTCTGATAGAGACTATGTTGAGAATGTAGAGGGGAAAAGGGCTTCACTTCGAGCCCCTTGTTGTCTATAAATACTGCAATCTGTGACATTATAAAGTGGTGTATAGGTAGATATAATACTAATCTATAGATGTGAATCCATTTGATGATACATCTGTGAGGTTAAAGTGGATTTTAACAGCCCGGGCCAGGTCGGACCGAACATTTCTGACTTGGATTTTTTAAAGAAAATACAGTAAAAATGCTTCACTTTAAGGGCGCAGATTTCTTAAAATGCGATACACCTGGACATTATAAATTGGTGTATAGGTAGATATAACACTATTCTATAGATTTAATCACATTTGTAGATACATCTGTGCGTTTAAAGTTGAATTTGACCGCCCGGGCCAAGTCGAACCAAACACAAGCCAAACACTTCTGATAGAGACTATGTTGAGAATGTAGAGGGGAAAAGGGCTTCACTTCGAGCCCCTTGTTGTCTATAAATACTGCAATCTGTGACATTATAAAGTGGTGTATAGGTAGATATAATACTAATCTATAGATGTGAATCCATTTGATGATACATCTGTGAGGTTAAAGTGGATTTTAACAGCCCGGGCCAGGTCGGACCGAACATTTCTGACTTGGATTTTTTAAAGAAAATACAGTAAAAATGCTTCACTTTAAGGGCGCAGATTTCTTAAAATGCGATACACCTGGACATTATAAATTGGTGTATAGGTAGATATAACACTAATCTATAGATTTAATCACATTTGAACATACATCTGTGTGTTTAAAGTTGATTTTGACCGCCCGGGCCAAGTCGGACCCAACACAAGCCAAACACTTCTGATAGAGACTATGTTGAGAATGCAGAGTGAAAAAGGCTTCAGTTTGAGCTCTGTGTTTTCTTTAACTACTGAAATATGAGACAATAAAGTGGTAAATAAATAGATACAATACTAGTCTTTAGATATAAATAATGTTAGGAACTTTAGAAGTGCTTGGAGAGTTATTAACACGTGTCGGGTCAGTCTTTTGACATTCGCGAATATCCACTTCCAGAAAACATCCTGTGTTGGTTTAACACGAATTAGTAAAGGTTAATTACCTTAACACGTTAATTATTGAAAGAAGAGTAGTCAAAACACTGTCGTTTCCTGCCCAGGACATCACACCTCTACACGCTAAGGTCGGTGAGAAGCATTCTAATCAAAGAATACACAGTCAAGACGCTGACTTTTCTACGAGACTCACGGTATGTAGTCATAATCATCAGTTAATTACATTGTTGGAGGTGCCTTTTTATTCAAACTCAATTAAATGAGCAAAACTATTCGTTTGTGGACATTTGAGATCTGCCTAGATATGCGCGTTTCGTTTTATTATTCTGCAATCCATTTTTAGTATTACCCGCTGGCCCGGCCCGGCCCGACTTTTCTTGGCCCGACTTTTAGGCAATCCCTCACAGCTACAAGCTACACTTCAGGAAACACCCGATCCTGAACACACACGCCGTGGGCCGAAGATTTCACCTGGTCGGAGCCAAGTTAGCGGCTACAGATTTGGCCGTCATGAAACAACTAAAGAAGCGAGCCATTCGGGAACAAAAAGAAACCAACAACACCATTATGACGTTATGGCTCGGTAGTTATGAGACTACCTGGCGACAACTAATTGTGTGATATCAATGAAGACGACGTCTGTTGAAAATCTGTAAATTTTAGTTGGTGTGATTGAGGCCAAAATACAGGATTAATGGCAGATATGTAATAGAGGTAGTATTCTGAGAATTATTACCAATGATAAACTATTGTTCGATAATTGCATGTTTAGAAACAATAAACGAACAAAACACGTCCTGTCTCAAACAAAATCAGCCCCATCCCCATATTATTACTTGATGTTTGCGATTCTAACATGATAAAACCATACAATAATGTTATAACTATACACATCCAGCAAACATATTTAATAATAGCATAAAGCAGTATCAACGTGAGTGTGCAAACAATCAGTCATGTTCAAGACTGTACTTACTTTTGTGTGTATGTTAGATGAGTATGTGAATTGAGGATACAAGTACCACGTGATAAATCCAGTATGACATTCACTCCTCTGTGGTACTCAGCACGTGGTTTACGTACCTCCCCTACGGTTTGTGTCATTTGGAATGTTGCCATCAGTGTCTGTTGAACATGGGAATATTGACTGATGTGTTAACCAACGGGTCATCTTCAAGATTAAGATACGTTTGTATTTATTTGCCTCATATTTCTTATGTGTACTTGTATATTTCGTTTGTTCTAGACAACTGTCCAAATGGAGATGTATTTGTAGACTGTCACATACTAAATCAGGACACGAAAGGTCTATGCTACAGTGAAAGAAATACCAGGGGTTGTTGTGAAACATGTCCACTTTTCAAGTCGGCAGTAGGTAAGTAATGATAGAGACATTTAGATGGTTTGAGTTTCGGAGCAAATATAGACACTGTTTAGTCGAAAGTTTGCATACTAAAATGTCAGGTTGAAATTATTTAAAATGTTAATTTTTTAACGTTAATGAGTGGAAGTAAGTCATTCTAAGGATTGAAATAATTTTCAAATGATCAGATGTCTTTCACCAATTCCATACTGGGATGATCTCCCTTTATTATATGATCAAGATACTTGATTTGATACGTGATGTGTGGATTATCGACAGGAATAATATGATACTTATTTTTCATATAACATTATATTTGAAATCCGTATGTTGGTTGGTTTGTTGTTTTACACCACACTCAGCAATATTCCAGCTATATGACGTCGGTCTGTAAATAACCAGCCCGACTGTGCCAGGATCACCCAAGCCTTCTTTGCTGCATTTATAATAATGATATGTTTATCTGGATGAAATTAATTATGAACCCAAGACACGTTCAATACATTTGAAAGTCGAACTTCACTCACTCTCGGGAACTGACAAATACATTTAATTGTAATTGTATATTGTCTCCCGCAAATTGCACAAATAATGTCACTTTATATTCTGACTGTACCTCTGGGACCAAATGCATCAGTCCAATGTATCAGTCCATTAAATCTTTCCAACGTATCAGCCCATTCTATCAATCCGATGCATTAATACAATGTATCAGTCAAGTGTATCAGCCCAACATACGAACCTAATGTATCGATACACTTTATCAGTCAAATATGTCGATCCAATGCATCTGTACAATATATCAGTCCAGTGTATCACTCCAATAAATATGCCCAACTAATTTATATCAGTCCAGTGTTTCAGTCAAATGAAGCAATCTTATGTAATAATTCCATGTATCAGCATTATGTGTTTAGTCCAATGTAACAGTCCAATGCATGAGTCAAATGTTTCAATGCATGTGTCCAATACATCAGTTTAATGCATGCGTCCAATGTATCAATTCATTGTATCAGTCCAATGTATCAATTCAATGTATCAGCCCAATGTATCAGTTCGATGTATAAACTTAATCTATCACTCCAGTGTATAGGTCTAATGAATCAATACAATGTAGCAGTCCCATATATGAGTCCGATGTCCAGTGTATCACTCCAATAAATGTGTCCACTGTATCCATCCAGTGTATCAGTCAAATGTTTACATGCAAGGTTTCAGTCAAATGTATCAATGCAGTGTATCAATACAAGATATCAATTCAACGTATCAATCTCATGTATCAATCCAATGTATCAATCAAATGCATCAGTCCAGTTTATCATTCCAATGCCGCAATCAAATGTATCAGCCCAGTATATCAATCCAGTGTATCAGTACTCATTGTCAATCTCATGTATCAATACAAGATATCAATCCAATGTATCCAAACAAAGTATACGTCTAATGTTTCAGTCCAATGTATCAGTCCAGTTTATCAATCCAATGCATCAGTCCAGTTTATCATTCCAATGTCGCAATCAAATGTATCAGCCCAGTATATCAATCCAGTGTATCAGTACGCATTGTCAATCTCATGTATCAATCCAATGTATCAATCAAATGTATCAGTCCAGTTTATCAATCCAATGTCGCAATCAATTGTATCACCCCAGTATATCAATCCAATATATCAATCCAGTGTTTCAATATGTACCATCTACTATGATAACTGTTGAAGCAGTTATATGTAATTTCGTACACTAGCCATTATTTTGTATGTATGTGTTAATGGTAGGTGTTATTACACCGTGCTAACCATTGTCAATATTAACATAAATCCTAACACATTTAAACTGCTAATGTTATGAACTATTTAGAATGGATCATGTATTATCAATCACAATATTACAACTGATTTATTTACAGTTTGACATGCAAAGTTTCATGTCTTTAACACGAAATGTGTATTTCTTCAATATTCATATTATTGAATTGTATGTTTTCCAGCAAATTGCACATATGGTGATCGTGACTCTGACTGTGACACTGTTATTACTCAGGAACAGAAAGGTCTTTGTTACAATGAAAACAAGGCCTATGGCTGTTGTGAGACTTGCCCAGCCTACTCGTCAGGAGGTGGTAAGTACAGACAATAGGGGTTTTGATGAGGTCTGGTTTGGGTTTTGGATGATTTAGTCAATCATTCAAGTTGTAGTTTATAAGGATTTTATAAGCCTATATCCTATCTCCAAGTCACACTACTGTTTTTGTATATTCGTGTTTAAGGTTGTATTATGATCTGATGTTTGAAAGAATTCAGGAAGCTATGGATAACCACAAGAGCATTATGGCTCATTAGTTTATAGTAACATATACTTATAACTGTTTTGTAAAAACATAAATGGTAGATATTTCTGTACACTGCTAACCATTGTCAGTATTATCATAAGTTATCAATTGTTACTTTTTTTAACTCTAAATCTAAGCTAAAGTGTCTGATTATCTTAGTTTCTAATTTCTACATGACAATGGTCATATAATATATTTATCATCAAGGCAGTTAATTTTAATAATTACGATATTCTATATTAATTTTATGTTAGTTACTTTTTTTCTTGATCGGTGTCGGTTACAAAAAGCTGCAAATATGGCGTTGATTGAATACATACAAAAATAATCCATAATGAAGTCCAGTTTAATGCGCCAGCTTTTATGTACAAGGTGAATGATCATGGCCCTACCGTATTATTACCCCAGTGTTTGGATCAATGTACACTCACATTTCATTCTCACAGCCCTGGGGAGTATGTATTCCAAGCCGTCGTATCAGGCTCAAGAAGGTTGACGAAGACATTACCTTCTCGTCATACCGGATAACCAGTCAACTTTCCTACAAACACCCTGATACTCTAACAATTAAGAAAAAAACTCACAATTTTCGGTTTTTTTAAAATAAGGAATCCAGTTCACATTCGAGTTCCATCACACAATGAAGAATATTTGATGATATGTAGGTAAGATAGATAGAGAGAGGTCCATGGTTTTCCTTGCTTCCTGAACGACGAGTGTCACTATTGCAATCAAACATATAGATTTATTACACTGTATCGCATGTTCCTTCACCTTGTGGCATGACTCTAAAACCTGACGACATGTCAATCCCTCTTTTATACTGGATTCCAAAGCTCCACAATTGCTGTCTGCAGCGCATAGCCTTCCGTCATCGCAGTGTCTGGTATCTATAATTTATGTGATGAAATTACGTGTGAGAAATGGTCTAAATGACGAAATATGTCTTATAGTTGAGAAGAATAGTTATGCAGAGTTGCATAGATTTACTGTGATTCTATCCACGAATGGAATCTATGCCCCTTATCACCCTGTGCTACCATTGATCATCGGATTCACCAAAGGATTAAACATGTTCCATCTGCATTACCTTGGGATTTACTTCCACATTAACCATGGTCTCGTGAAAGGTTTACACGATGGTTATGATAATCGAAAGACGAACATGCTCGACAATACTGTCATAAATATAGCAATTAGCAAATATTTGAACGTCTAAACGCTGCTTGATTATGTTGCAGACTGTCCCTATGGCGACAACACGTTTAATGATCCATGTGCCTATAGCAACTGTATCATTGCTGGTCCCGACTACATTGGAAGGTGTTTTGACACTTGTCGCAATTTTACGTCACAATCTACCACAACTACAACAACTACTACTGTACCAACAACTACCACAGCTACACTAACATCTACCACAACTGCACCAATAATTACCACAACTACACTAATAACACCAATAACTATCACTTTACCAACTACCACAACTACTACAACTGCACCAATAACTACCACTTTACCAACTACCACTACCACAATAGTATCTACCACAATTACACCAACAACTAACACAACTGCACCAACAGCTACACCATCAACTACCACTACTCTCCCAACAACCTCAACTACTATACCAACAACTACAACAACTACCTCAGCATCTACTACAACTGCACCAACTACCACAACTACACCAATTGCTATCACAACAACTAACACTACACCAGCAACTACCCCAACGGCACCAATAACTACCACTTTACCAACTACCACAATTACACCAACAACTACCGCAACTGCACCAATAACTACCACTTTACCAACTACCACAACTACACTAACAACTACCACTACTACACCAATATCTACGACAATTACACAAACAACTACTACAACTGCACCAACAGCTAAGCCATCAACTACCACTACTCTCCTAACAACCTCAACTACTACACCAACAACTACAACAACTATACCAGCATCTACTACAACTGCACCAACTACGCATACCACAACTACACCAATTCCTATCACAACAACTACCACAACAGGACCAAGAACTACTAGACCTACAACTTCCACTAGTACACCAACAACTACCACAACTACATCAACAACTACTTCAACTACACCAACTACGACTACAACTACACCAACGACTGCCACAGCTACACCAACAACTGTCACAACTACACCAACGACTTCGACTACGCAATTAACTACCACTACACCAACTACAACGCCAACTACATCAACAATTCCTACAACAGCCAGCACAACACAAAGTTCCTCACCTCCATCAAAACAAGCTACCAGTACAAGAATAGTGTCCAGCACAGCTACAGTCATAGCAGGACCTACATCTACAACTTTAGGCTTATCTCTTCCCACCACGACAGTCAATGCTCTCAGTGGTGAGTATAACTGATACACAGACATACAAATTACCCCAACAAACCATGCTTGTCATTCACGTGACAATTGTATCGGGTGGTCGATGACTTGTTTGATTGTTTGTTAAAGTATCCTTAAGGTACCGTTGTTCATCAATCGCCGATTTGTCTGCCCCGGAGTCCATTAATCACAGTGACAGTTTTAAATATTGCTGACTTCAGCATAAAACGGAAACAAACACATGTTAAGAATAAAGAATTAGAGACAGAAAAGTCTTAGAAACAGTGATTACCGCTGTTTGTCTTTCTGACTTTCACAGAGACTTCTACTACCACCAGTTTCTCCTTTGTCAATTGCTTCCTTCGAGGAAATCATTCATTTTTGTATTAACATTAATTGAAAATAAATACAATCAGTATTATCAGGTAGTGAATTGTATGAAATATTCGTTTGTTTCCAGAGCAAAAAATAATCATAGGGGCGAGCTTCGCTTTCAGTCTCGGGATAATTGTCATCCTCATTGTGCTCATCGTCTTTGTCGAAAGGTGCGTACAGTTATTTTCCTTAAAGAGTTGATCTACATAAATGTGTCTGAAATGTGATTCTTCATGCTTTTGTTGGCATAGGTGTTCGGGGACTGGGTGTTCTTGCACAGAATTAGGAACTACTTGCACAAATAGATATCAGGCTTCGACCAACAAATTCATAAGGGAAGTCATCTTTATATTTTGAAACCTGCTACTTTAAACACTCGTTGCGCTAAAAGGGCAACTCTTTCGACTGGGCGTTGTCCACCAACACGAATAGACAGATGGTAGTTGACTGCGATTGGATGACACTACACATTACACTGTGTGAAGTTTGTTTGAGAAGCATTATTGCTCTCGACAAAATTAACATAAACAGAAGTGTTTATAACCTTTTTATCGCCTCTTCATGACCTCTTTCGCTTGCTGTCAAAAAGCAATTGAACCAGTTTAGTAAGCCGTCAGAGGCACTTGTGAAGACTCCACAGACAAAACTACAGCAAAATAGTTCATTCCAACAATTAATATTGTTATGGTGTGATTTCCAAACTGAAATGTAAAGATTAATATCATAATCGGTATTGGAGCTGAATTGTGCAATCAGTAAATAATAGTAGTATATAGTGCACTTCTGCCCGTTTTGTAATTGCAGCCCTCTCATTGGCTGATTTCTGCCCGTCATATAATGCAGCCCTCTCATTTGCTGATTTCTACCCGCAGGATCCCCCAACCCAGAGTAATGACGTCATATATTTCTGTCCTCTCATTGGCTGATTTCTACCCGCAGGGTCCCCTCCCCCACCCAGGGGTCCCACCCCACCCCAGCACTCCAGGGGTCCCACCCCACCACCCAGGGTCCCATCCCACTTTCCCACCCATTTTGATTTTGAGCGCTGTTATGTAACTTATTCATAAGAGAACCTAGTGAATGCTATTCTAGACTTAGTGTATACAATAATAAAAGAATTGTGTTGAATTTTCTGACCAGTGGCTTTGTCATTCAAATGATAATTATAAGTTTATCTCCAACTCGTAACCCTTCGACTCATGACCGCTGGTCAACCCTTATGATAAGAATTACTTTAATGAAAAGCCTTGGCGACGAGAATGCTGTCGTCCCATCTGTGGCTGTGACTAGGTGTCAGGGGACTAAAGTTTCCACTGACCAGTGTATTACAAGGGGACAGCAATTTACTTAATTAGTGAGAGGACATCTGACCTCTCTTTGTCCTTGATATCTCTTTTAACATCAATCCATTCGTAATTGAATCCGGCTGTCGTGTCAGCATAATATTGTTTGACATCGTGGACAAGGCGTTACTCGATCGTTATCGTCCATACATGACGTTTAATGACAGGTAGTTAACTGCTATATTAACTGGTTAGTCCGCCTTTCGAAAGTACATTTCTACGCTACGATCATGGCCCAGGAACAAATAACCAAGTACCTGAAGACTTTGACTTCTGATAACCTTGACAAAGTTCTCGCCTTCCTAGAACATGTCAGTGATGAAGAAGAGGATCAACTATTGGTCACTGTTGAAGATCAGTTCGAAAGTGACGATGATGACTCGATCTTAGTAGAACACTTAGAGAATGTAGAACGAGAAATGTCTACGGAAGCTGACCTTGAGGTATGTTTATATTGTTTTCTAAAATACTAATGTGTAGCTAATGTATTTACAGACACCTTTATTATGTAAAAACGTGTGTATTTGTACCGTTAGTAATGTATGAAATTATTACCGCTATTTTAGAAAGCATCTGAAACAGATGGTGATACGTGGAGCGATGGCGTCACTGATTTGGAGCTATTGGCGGGGCTATTGGAAGCCGAAAGGGGCAACGAGGAAGATGATGATGACGTCATAATTGTGAATGTTGAAAACGTTCCCGCTGAACAGAGTCAGGGTTTTTAATTGGATTTCGGGGTATGTTTTTTGGGGGGGTTTCTGAGTTAGTCAAAGCGCGCAACTACTGTTCTATACTTACCGTTCAAATTGTTTAACGAGTATGAAAACCTTGCATATCGCTATAAAATAGTCTGAATTATAATTTCTATTGTAGGAAGAGGTTTCGTGGTCCAGCAACTGGGACAACGAAATATTTACCGTTTCCTATGACACCCAGGATGATAGCGATCATAATACGGATCCGGAGGTATGTTTAAACCGAGCATAAAAATAGATATTGTTTATAACGTATTCGACTCTCTCTCTCTCTCTCTCTCTCTCTCTCTCTCTCTCTCTCTCTCTCTCTCTCTCTCTCTCTCTCTCTCTAAATATATTCGTATACGATGTACGCGTACTGAGGTGTATTTTGGTAAATCTTTATTTACTATTTCCTATATTTTCGTTCAAGGAACTGATCAATGCCGACACATCGGAAGACACGTCTTGTGATGTGGGAAACCTTATGATTTCCACGAGGGAGGAAGAGTCAGAGGTCAGCACTGGTGAATTTTACTGACGATAATATATATTAAAAAAGAATGTAATAAAACATCTGTACTGAACTCCACGTTTTACTTATGTTCACATCCTACTTTGAGTATATCTATTTCTCGACATTATATTTCTTCGATGTAAACGAGTTATTATTTTTATTATTTATGACCGATTCAAGTTATTTCATATAGTATCAATTATCGTTCTTTGTAGGGTGAAGAAACTGGTAGTTCTCAAGAGGTTGAACAGTTGGTGGGTGAAGTTGAACCGTACGAACTCGAGCTATTCGAACGACAGAGGGTTCGAAGATTCAGACTCAATGTCAATAACTACCACTTGCGATTTAATGGTGAGTGGTTAAATGTTCAGAGACCCGAGAATTTACCAGTCGTCTTGAGAAGGATGTTTGACCGTATACTGGAGGATCTACGTCATCAGGTAGATAGTCAAGATAATGACAGAGTAGGGTTAGCTATTCGTCATCCAGCTTTGGACGCTCCAATGAGGATAGGTTTCCGTCGCCATATCGAGCTAAGAGGAGAAGACATTATGAACTTGAATGAAAAGTAATGTCGATCTCGCGGTAGATGACACTATGATCATCAAACTTTTACACGTCGAGGATCCAAACCGTGTTGGCGAAGGAAGAGGTCATAGATCTAAGATCTAAGTATAGAATGTTTTAAAGAAATGAAGAGGTCTATTTTGAAGATAAGGAACAATGATGATCTCTGTTTTGCTAGGGCCCTTGTGACAGCCATACACTACAGTTTAAAACCGGAACCGTTGGACAGAAAACATCCCGATTGTGTCGCCTGGCGTAAAAAGCTCAGATCCCTGACAGAAATTCGTAAGTAAGGTGACAGGCAAAGAGATGAAGCGATAAAGCTAATGCAGAACGCTGGGATTGTCGTGGGTCCTTGCCAAGGTCGGGAAACATGGGAAGCAGACACCTGGCTCCTACTTATCAGTGAAAGATATATTCAGCAGATATTTTCAACAAGCTGATGTACAAAAGCCCCGTTGTAGATGCTGAAAATATCCTACATCTGTTTCATAATGACAATCATTATGACGTCATCACTACCATGACAGGATTCACTGGATACAATGGATACTGCGAAGTATGCGATATTCGCTACAGTACAGCCAACAATCATAAATGTAGCCTCGACTTCCACTGTTAACAGTGTAAACAGCCTGGTTTTTGAGGGGTTAAGATCAACATGGATGTGAACTGTTTGACCTGTAATCGATGGTTTGTCAATGTCCGATGCTATCAACGTCATTTGACACGAGCCATCGATCGAGCATCTACCTGTGATGTGTTTCATTGCTGCAAGGAATGTCTGGAGGAATTTAACACGTCGATGGATCACGTTTGTTCGGAAAACAGAGACTGTAAGATTTGCAAGCAGCCCTTGTCTCTGGACCGTCGATGTTATATCCAGCCAATACAGGATGAGGAAATGATGCAGCAGTTGCTCAAAGGAATGCAGGGAGCGTCTCGAGATAGGAAACGCGATATTCCGCAGGAAAGGGCCAAACGATGATTCATATTTTACGATTTTGAGGTCACTCAAGACACCGGTAAACACGTGCCCAATTTATGCGTGACACACTTAGGATGTGGGGGATGTATTAGAAACAAGTCTGACAACTTGTGCGATACCTGTCCATGGCGAGCTGAAGGAGAGGGACCAAGCCAGTCAAGATATTTAAAGGTGCATCCTCGCTGAACGATGTGGGCGACTGGTTGCTCAGGGTTGCCGACGGTGGAACGAAGAAAAAGGGAAAGAAAAGAAAGAGGCAGTCAGACGGTGACTCTGAGGATGGTATGGATGAAGGTGTCGAAGGGGATGATGAGGAAGAGGCCGTTATAGCCATAGCCCACCATTATAGCGGATATGACGGACACCTTCTGCTACAATATCTTCATAAGAAGATAGTGAAACCTCCCGAGATACTTATGCGCGGTCAGCAAATACTGCAAATGAAGGTTGGTCGAGTGACTTTTAAAGATTCACTCAATTTCCTCTCCATGCCTCTTAAAAACTTCCCGAAGACCTTTGGATTGACGGAGCTGCAGAAGGGCTACTTTCCTCATTTTTTCAATACTGCTGCCAATGAAGATTACGTCGGACCCTATCCCCCTATTGAGAGTTAAGGCGCTGACAGCATGTCTATCACGGATAGAGAAGCTTTCATGAAATGGTACGATAGCAAGATAGCCCCAAATGCTGTATTTGAGATGGGGGAAGAAATTTTGGCCTACTGTCGGAGTGATGTCGATATTTTGAGGAGAATATGTGCTGCCTTCCGACAACTCTTTATCGATCAAAACCGGGTTGATCCCTTTAAAGATGCGATAACCCTTCCCATGGCCTGTATGATGGTTTACAGACAGAATTATCTTCCTGAAAATACGATCGCCATTATCCCACCTCTGGGTTACAGACCTCATCTTCGCTATTCTATTCAGTCACTACAGTGGTTGGCGTGGTTAATGAATGTTGATCCAACTTTGGACACACAACATTCCCGAAATGGTGGTGAAAAGAGATTTCACTGTTCAAATGGAAAAACCTACAGTGTAGATGGCTTCAACAAGAAGACAAAAACAGTGTACGAATACTTGGGATGTTTCTGGCACGGCTGTGCTGGATTTTATAAAACCAGTAGAAGTAAGCCTCATCACACCCTGGGAATCTCTTTACATCAAACCCACTTCAGACTGGCTTTACTAAGAAACCATCCTAAGGTCAACGCTGTACTGACTATATGGGAATGTAGTTTTCAAGGGCAGAAAAAAGAGAACCCTGAATTAGGCAATTTTCTCAAGGGTTTTGAATATCTATCCATGCCTTTGAACCCCTGCGATGCTTTCTTTGGAGGGCGTACTAACGCTACCAAATTATTTCATGAGGCTGGGGAAGATGAAAAAATCATGTATGTGGATGTGTGTTCACTTTACCCATACATCAACAAATATGGTAGATACCCAGTGGGTCATCCAAAGATAGTAGATACGCCGGACGTGTCGAGACTGTTTGATTTACACGGTCTCGTCATGTGTCGCATACTCCCACCAAAGCGGTTATACCATCCCCTGCTTCCCTACCGAACCTGTGGCAAACTCATGTTCCCCTTATGTAGGACATGTGCTGACTCTCAACAGCAGGAGAGTTGTTCCCACACCGATGAGGAGAGAGCCTGGGTTGGGACTTACGCCACGTCGGAAGTTCAGGAAGCTGTGAGAGAATGCGACTATGAAGTTCTAAACATATTCGAGGCTTGGCATTTTGAGGAATTTGCACAGTATGACAAGGACAACAGGCAAGGGGGATTATTCACTGACTATGTCAACAATTTCTTCAAGTTGAAGCAAGAAGCCAGTGGACCTCCCGAACAGAGTGAAAACCTTCAAGAGTATGTCCAGACCATATTCGACAGAGAAGGCGTGAGACTTAACGAGGCAAACGTATTGAAAAACCCTGGACTCATAATGTTGGGCAAGGCTTGCATCAATAATTTTCTGGGGTAAACTCGCTCAACAGGAATCGGTTACAAAATCAGAATATTTGTCCGATCCAATGACGTTTTTTCATATGCTATTGGATGAAAGCATACGGGTACAGAGCGTACTGGTGATCAATGATAACCTATTGTTCGTGTCTTATGAACCCGAGAACGATTATCTCACACCTCACTCAGCTTCCAATTTGTCAGCTTCCAATGCCTGTGCTCTATTTCGATTCAGACAGCGTGTACACCATCCAGAAGAATGGAATCCACCGCTGGGCGATTCTCTAGGAGAACTTACAGACGAATTGGATGGGAATTCCTTTAAAACATTCGTATCGGCCGGTCCGAAGAATTACAGCTATTTGCTAGCCAAACCCAGGAAGCATGGTACACAAACTACCTGTAAAGTGAGAGGCTTCACTTTGAATTATCAAGCCAGTAGGAAATTAAACATGGAGACCATGAAAGAGTTGATTATGAACAATGGTGAAGATACAATCACCGTTGATTATCCTTCTCAGATAATTCGAGGAGACCTGCGAAAAAATAATGAAATCGTGTCTAAACACGTGTCTAAGAAATACAGACGTGTTTATACAAAACGTAGACTGCTTTCAAATACAGAGGGAATCCAGGCAGAAACGCTACCTTATGGCTGGGTTGAATAAATTGTATAAGTTAGATTCTTTTTGTTTTTCACTGACATTTGATAACTGGATATATTATTATTATTATTATTATATTTCATGTGAATAATCTGTATCTGTAGTCATCAGCATGTTTGTACATTATACGTGTTTCACTTTGAATACACTGTATTATTTGAGGCTTGATTAACACCTATATTCCAGTTTTGACAACTACTGTGCATCACCGTTGGGTATACCATGTAACATCAAATTCAAAGTTTGCTTTATAAGTATATGTGTATGTATGTATATATTTAATTCGATTATTGATGCCTCATTGTTGCAAATATTCTTATAATAAGAGCTTGAATTGTTTTATCGTATTGATTCTGTACATATTGTATTTTTAACAACTAAATATTTTCATAAATAAATAATCATTGTTTCAATATGAAAGTCGCAAATGTTTTTTATTTACTTGTAATCTCGTTATTACGGGTGCTACCAATGAGTGGTAATCTCTGATTGGACTAAACTTACGACAGTCACGTGGTTGTCTGGAGTAGATTAGCGATTAGTTTAGACTAGTCACGTGATTTAGAGTGTGGTCAACACCCTTGGATATTAATCTCTGATTGGACCACGCTTACGGACAGTCACGTGGTTGTCTGGAGTCGATAAGCGATTGGTTTAGACTAGTCACGTGATTTAGAGTGTGGTCAATACTGCGAGAAGTCCATTCGACTCCAGAATGTTGGAGAGAGGAGACGTGTAAATCCTGAGCTCCACTTCAAACCACAGGGCAGAAAATTCAACACAATTCTTTTATTATTGTATACACTAAGTCTAGAATAGCATTCACTAGGTTTAATTATGAATAAGTTACATAACAGCGCTCAAAATCAAAATGGGTGGGAAAGTGGGATGGGACCCCTGGAGTGCTGGGGTGGGGTGGGACCCCTGGGTGGGGGAGGGGACCCTGCGGATAGAAATCAGCCAATGAGAGGACAGAAATATATGACGTCATTACTCTGGGTTTGGGGGGTGGGGAAGGGGGACCCAATGAGAGGGCTGCATTATATGACGGGCAGAAATCAGCCAATGAGAGGGCTGCAATTAAAAAACGGGCATAAGTGCACTATATACTAATAATAATCACTCAAGATCAATGAATAAACTATAACTTATACTGAAGCACAAGGCAAAACAATGGGTTACATACGTGGCAGCAGTCCTTTAATGAACGTGCACACACGAATGTTCAGGATCTTGTCACAGTCGATTGTCATGAAACAGTCCAGTGTTCAGATAGGTATCCAATTCCCACTTGACAAGAAGATTAGAATTTGTAAAAGATCTCGAATAGTCCTGTTTCGCTTGTAACAGATAGCCTTCTAGAAACTGTAATAATGTCAAAGAGTACACAATCAGACAAATTTCCGCCATCTTAAGTCTGTGATAATTTGGATTAATGTGTATCCCCTATTTCAGAGGCATTTGCAGAATGGGGACAAAACGAAAACCTACGCCAACACGAACCGGAGACTTGGATTACAAGGCTCCGCCTCTAGGAGTGTCTTCAAGGGGGCTCTCCTCATACTCAACACGTTTTAATGTTGGTCGATTAGCCTAGGCAATAATACCCAGTGCAGTTCATCCCACGCATGCCCAATCATAGTTTTAAGCAACGACAGTGGCTAGACTTTTGAAACTGGTCCACAGACTTACCCACCTTCAAATATTGAAATAAAAAGTAGTCGGGTCCTATTTGTTCGCCTTACATTTATTGTCAATTTCTAGAACCTGGTGTGCGATATTACCAATCTTATATATTTTTCACCACTGTTCCTGCCATATCAATCAGTCTGTTGATCTGATTAGATGTTGGTTTATTTAATTAAAAGTGTATGTTATTCAGTCAAAATGACATAAAATATTTGACCATTTTCATTCATAATCGTTAGAACTAACATATTACCGCAGGCCAATCAGCGTGTCATACTTACATATACCTTTTTACATTCCTGGTATCATCATTGATTTTCAGAGATCCATTCATAGACGTATTATTATCTTGCGTTGACGTTCTATATTGACAATATATGGTCAAATATATTTCTCGTTGGCCTCTTTACTGTTCATATCGCACAGTTCACAAACCGATTTACTACAACATATAAACGAAACCAGTTTCTATGAGTCAGAGTGTTGGGTGTATATCGGTTTTGTGACGTTCTTTATGTACTTTCGTCATGACTTACAAAATTTAGAACTTTATGGCATGAACTCAATGACGAAGGGAGGTTTGGCAGTGTAAATAAACATATGTATATTATTTACCTTTCCATTAATTTTTGTAGTATTGTGTAAATAAACTTAAAATGCCACTGAAAATCGTTATATGTTATCTCATACCTATATATTCGTTGTCTTTTACTTGTTTTTCGCAAATTGTAAAAGAGTAGTTCTGTGAAAGATGGGCCGTAATCTCTACCAACTTATAAGTAAAGTACTAATCTGGATAGGCAACTTACTAACCAATTTGCAAATATTTACGAACATGTTAGTAACGTCTACTAACATGTTAGTGTCTGTGTGGACAGTGAAATTCGATAAGTTTAAAAAAATTCAACAATTGTTCACATTAATATAATCACAAGGTTAATGTTTTTATGGTTGTGTTCAAATAATGGAGGTGAGGTGAGGTGAGGTGAGGTGAGGTGAGGTGAGGTGAGGTGAATTTGTATTTAATAAGATTTGTGCACTTATATAGCGACGTGTGTGTGTGTGTGTGTGTGTGTGTGTGGCTGCTTGTGCTAGTCCGGACTGATGCCGATTTAGAGTGCTAGCTCACTGAGATACCATGTCGCAGTTTTAACATGACTACCCAACTCAGTATACTGACTCCGTATACTGACTCCGAGCGGACCAGTACTTGTTTAGCCCCTTAATGCCGAGCGCAAGACAGGGTAACAACAAGTACCATCTTTTAACGTCTTTTGGTATGACGCGGCCGGGGATCAAATCCCGAACCTTCCGCTCTCCGGGCGGACGCACTACCACTAGACCACGGAGGCGGTAATACTATAGCTCTAAATTGGCACATGCACCTGGGTTTTATACTTTGTTTTTTTTTCAACGTCTCTGTAATAAAACTGAAATTATGTTCAAAGCAGCGAAAAACTCGCTCACTCACTCACTTCAAGTGCCAAACAGACGTTGAGGGAAAAAGATAAAGTAATTGTATACAATAAGATGTGGCTTGACAATGAGTAAATATGTAATTAACGGCTACCGAATGTGGACAGAGAAGTGTAATATGGCAGTTCTTAAACAAAAGTGACAAAACCCTTTCCATGTTCAAGAAATCTCTGTAAAAAACAGAGTCCTTTGCTCCATTTCGACTATATCATGAACATGTGTTTATGAATCACTATCAACTAGTGATGATACCAGGTGTTCGCGAAGAGGTGAGCGTATCCTGCTCTACCGATGGCACCAATCACAAATACATGCAATGGCAAGTCAATTGTTCACCTGAAAAAACATGGGAATATGTTGTACAAGCCATCGGACATCATGTTGCATCGGACTTCATTTTGGTCACTGATATTTGGAAATATCCTCCACAGGTCTACCACAAACTTTCTGAAAGCTTTGCTGGGCCTTGATTGTTGTAACCCTGCTCAAACAACTTTTGATGAGGAGGCGTATGACTTTCTTTAAAAATGCTTGTTAAAAGGGCATAATTGATAGTATCTCAAAAGTTGTTGAATGTGGACACCAAAGGCGGGAGCTGTGAACGCGTTAACACCTAGGTTACCCCCCCCCACGCCCCCTCCCCAGGGTAACAAGGGGCTCAGGAGGATTTGTTTGAGGTGATCCAGAACCATATATTTTTCAGAACATCCACCATGGCCAGTGAACAATTTATTCTATTTTCAAAAATAACACATTAGGACATTACATAGCAGATGCATAAATAGTCTAAAACAACGAAGCCAACAATGAAGACAGACGACTGCGGTGGCGGAGCCTAGTGATAAAAGAGATGGCTCCTCACGCCGAAGACCAGGGTTCGATCCCCCACATGTTTACAATGTGTGAAGCGGCGATAAACCAAGCTGGCACAGAGTACAGTGGCGGATCCTGGAGTTGAAACAAGGAGGTTTGCAGCAGGAACCGACAACATTCATTATCAGCTCCTGAAACACTTGCCTGCTTCAAGTTTGGAAACCGTACTTAACATATTTGATGAAATATGGACAACTGGAAATGTTCCGCCTTTGTGGCATAATGCCATTATCATTCCAATACCCAAGCATGCCTGGGATCATACTGATCCACCAAATTACCGTTACATATTATCAACTAGCGGTGATTGTAAAACCATGGGGCACATGGTCAACAATCGATTAGTCTGGTACTTGGAGACCAATAATCTCCTGAGTAACACCCAGCGTGTTTTAAAAAAAAACAGAAGTACCATTGACTATTTGTTGCGTTTAGAATCATTTATAAAAAAATCCATCATCAACAAATAAAATGCTGTATCCATCTTTTTCGACCCAGAGACAGTTTCAAACACATCGGTCGAGATAAGGGCGTCGCTCAAGGCAGCATCTGATCTGTCACAGTTTGTAGCATCAAAGTTCATAGTCTCACAAAAGTATTGAACTCTTGTGTTGATGGGTCACCTTTTGTGGATGATTTCAGCATTTCATGGGTTGGTAAGGTTATGCAGAGAAAGACAGCTACAACAATGTGTTTGCAAATTTCAAATATTGGCCAACGAAAACGGTTCAACGTTTTCTTAATCCCTATCAAACTGCATTTTTCTGTTGTACATACAAACTGCACAAGGATCTAGAACAACTTTAGATGGTACTACTATCAAGGCAGTAGATGAGGCGAAATTCCTTTTAAAATCTTAAACAAATCATTTGGTTTATCAACAAGTATGTAACCAGTTGCGAACAACATACAATTCTCACAGATCCATTTTTACAGACGGGTCCAAGGATGGTGGCAAAGTTGCAAATGCCACCATCACTGGATCCAGAACTTTCTCCTCAAGAATCCCAGATAATAATTCAAGCTTCACTGCTGAGGCCAAAGCAATCACAACAAATTTCATCATCTTCTCTGATTCCCTGTCTTGCCTTCAGGTCCTCCCCGCGAATCACCCTGTTATTCAAGACAGTTTACAACTATATAATGATCTTTCTACTAGACAGTCTGACATCGTCTTTTCCTGATTACCAAGTCATAAAGGCATAGCAGGTACCTCGACACCCGATGCTGCAGCTAAAGCAGCTCTCGACAAACCATTATCTCAACAACAGTGATTTTAAACCAACTTTCAAGAGTTATACACGGGATCTCATAATGAAGGGGTGGGACACCCAGGTAGGAGGCAATAAACTTCACTAATTTAAACCAATAATCGGTCATACCTACATGTCAGTCAAGAAGATGTCCTATTGGCCACAATCGATTTACCCACGGGAATCTACCACGAATAACAGATGAGGGCGAACCTCCTAAGTGTATCCCTTGTGATAAAAGGTTCACCTTCAAGCACATATTGCTTGACTGTGTGGACTTTGCAATCGCAAGGGTTTCACATTATCCAACAGAAATCTAGAAGGTCTCTTCACACGTGTAAGCGGGCATCTCATTCATTCCCAGCTTCTTGAAAGAAAGTGGTCGGTATAATAAATTTGAAATATGTGAATAAATAATTAAAAGCTAGTTTTTAATTTTGAGGTGATGGTTTCACCAAGTGTCATTACTGAAGGCTCTGTCTAGGAGGTTAAAGTACCGTAAAATTATTGTCCCCCCTGTAATCCTATCACAATCGTTGTAACTATCATCAACCAGTGCTTTAAGCCAACTCATTGCTGAGTATATTCTAATATTGGCTAGTATTGTGCACACATCAATAAAGTGATGATTAAATCCTGCTAAGATATCGTGCAGTTAGCTGAGGTACCGTAAGTCCCCATGATCCCCAGCAAGGTCGCCTAGCCCAAGTTATTGGTGGCCTATAGCCCGTGTTTTAGTGTTACCGGGCATCTCATCCAAAACTACTTCAAAACAATTGGCCTGTATCCTAAATCCTGTGTATGTGAATAGCTAAATGATTGTTCTTCTTAATTTGGTGTTTGGCTTTTATCAACAATTGCCCCCTGTGTAATGTGACATGTAATTCCTGTCATAATCAATGTGACTATCATCAACCAGTGTTTCAAGCATGTATTTTATATTGGCTGGTATGTTCACAACCACCAGTGGCTAAAGTGATGACGTAAATCCTGCTCGGTTGTCGTGCAGGAAGCGATGGCACTGTAAGTCCCCATGATCCACAGGGGTCTGGCCTAGCTTTGGTTGCTGGTGGCTTATAGCCCGTGATTTCAACAGTTGTACATAATATTGTTATGCCAAAATAAGTTTTTCAAATTTGCATTTAAATATAACTTTATATTCATGACTCACCTGTAGAAATCAACGTGTTCCCGTCGTCATATGGCTGAAATAAAGCCAATGTGACGTTAAAGTTTAACTAACTAACTAACCGGCCATTTGGGTACCCGACAGTCACGAGCTGCCTCCCATAAAACGTCTCCAAATATGGAAGATTTACGGTTGTCAACTTTGTTAATGATACCTCGTGCGACTGATTAATGTCTACGGCGTCTCATAATCTCAGATACGTGCTTGTTGTAGTGGTGGTCATCTGTCGCATTCATTATTGTTTGCTTCACTATTTATAAAGCTGAATAATGAATATTTGAAGATTTTTGGTTGCCATTGTTAGACACAAGGAGCAAATATTAACAAAAACCAAAATGTCCCCTTGAAGATCCGGTTTACAACCCATGTTTGCCGTATGAGGTGACTGTGCTTGTCGCAAGGTGACGACCAAAGGGATCGGGTGGTCAAGCTCGCTGACTTGGTTGATGATATCACTGTACCCTAATTGCGTGGGTCGATGCTCATGACATCAGTCACTGGATTTTTCGTCCAGATTCGATTATTTACAGACCGCCGTCATATAACTGGAATGTTGCTGAGTGTGGCGTTAAACAACACACGAACACACAAAACCAAAAGGCCTTTTACGGTATTTTGAGGTTATGCATACATATTTTTTTAATAAGGAGAGCTTACCCCAAGCCTGAAGTTATATGTGTGTAACAAGTAGAGGAAAGTGGGATGAGAAGGAGTAGCATTAGGCATCCATGGTCAGTAACTGGAATGGTATCAAAAAGTAAAGCATATCTGATGGCACATACATATTGCATGATACAGAAACTGATTGGCTTGAAATGCAGAATGCATTGCAGAGTATATCCGTAGTTAATATGGATGTAGCATGTTTGGACTAAATATACACAAAATATTAACAAATCTAAGAACTTCATCTTATACAAGAGTGATTGAGTGAGTATGGTTTCACGCCACTTTTAGCAATATTCAAACAATATCACGGCAGGGGACACCAGAAATTGGCTTCACACATTGTACCCATGTCTGGAATCGAACCCGGGTCTTCGGCGTGACGAGCGAACGCTTTAACCACTAGGCTACCCGTCCGCCCCTTAAAAAATGAAAAACATGGGTTTTGTCGCTTCTATTTACACAATCACACCAGGAGACATGCGTGAAAAGTCTTATCATATTACTACATAGAACAATGGACCAACTTAAAACTTTAAAACTATATCCAACAGCAAACATGCAAGTGCATATCACTGTGGGACCCAGCATTGGGTGACACAAACAAATTACACATATTTTCATTGTGATACTACCAAACAAACATTAAGTGCAATACTCAATAGTCGCAATGGCAATGTTAACAAATGCTCTCTTTGTATTCATTTCAATCTAAACCAGGATATAAATTTTACAACCGTGACCTTCAGTGCATACCACTGTAGGAGCCAGTCTTGGGTGACACAAGCACGTGACATATTTTTATTGTGACGCTATCAAACAAATATAGTCGCAAGGGCAATATCAAAAGATACTCCCTTTGTATACATTTCAATCTCAGCAAGGATATAAATTTGACTGATCATGAGAAGAGTCCAAAGTAAACTCAGTGGACCGATTTCAAGTATACATCCTGGTTGAATGTTGAAATGCAGTCTGACCCGATATAGGATTTTGAGAAAATGAAGATTCTTATTCTGCTAACGTTAAGCCAGTTTGGATTGTGCCAAGACAGTGAGTACAAACATATATTATGAAACATGTCGTTTACGTTTAGTAACTTATGGCATGCCAATATATTGGGATATAGTTTTTGCGTTTAAGCTTGCTAATATGTAAAGAAGGGTTTACTGATGCCCATTTAGATATACTTTGTGTGAATTATCTCAATTTGATGGCAAATAAACGCTACACGAAACGTTCCATAAAACATAAGAAATTTCAACTGAAGGCAAACTGCATTGTACGATTTCAGAACTGCATTGTACGACTTTACCAGAAACATGTGTTTAAAGTCGTATCCTGTCCCATTTCTGGCACCCGTCACTCATTCATATGGTCATTCATATGGTCTTTCACTGTCAGATATGTCTATTGTATCCATTTGGTATTTCGCGGTTTCAATACACACCCCAAATAGCATTCATACAATCTCTCATGGTCAGTAAGTAAGGATAAGATATATGGATGAACGACTTCTTTATTACAATTAGAAGTGACGTTTCGGTGTAGGTTCTAACACCGTTATCAAGCATTTAGTCAGGTAAAACTCAGAATCTCATGGTCAGGTATGTTGGTTTTATCTGATTCATTTATTATGTCAGTGTGTCAGTGATATGAGGTAGAGTGGGTTTAACGTCGAGTTCAAGATTATTACACTCAGAGTGTAAAGCAACGCACATGCATGCGTATGCATGTGGTGGTTTGTTCCAATGCTAGCCTACGGAAATACCATGCCACAGTTTAACATGGATAACCCACTCAAACTCCGAGCAAACCAGTCCATGTTTTATCCCCTTAATGCTGAGTGCCAGCCGGGGTATCAACAAGTATAAATATGGATTTGTTAACACCACAGATGCCAATATGACGGTTGCCTGTAAATAATCGAGACTGGATTAGACAAAACCAGTGTGATAAGGTGTGTTACATTAACAAAGAAAATAGTGACTGAGTGAGTTGCGGTTTACTCTTGTATGAACGATGTATCAGTTGTATAATACTTTAGGCACATCTAGGATTTTAGAAAACCGGATCCTGCAAAATCATGTATGTGCTTAATAAACTTTTTAAACAATACATAAGAATATCGACCGGTGGATGGGTGGCTGTGTTTCGACAAGTTTGTCATCTGAGTTTCTAGGAGTTCGGTCCTGCCCAACACTGAAAGACATGTTACATGTGGTGTGACTTAATGCAAATGGCCTTGTTAGGAATATGCCTTTGTTCATCGAGCAGGGGATTTGTACCAGGTAGAAAGAGATTATAATGTTACCTTAAAAAATATGATACAAAGAATGGCTTATCTTGTATAACTCCTCTTGACGAGAACCGTAACAACTGGAATGTAGTAGTTTTGCCTTGAACTATTATTACGTCAAAGAACTCGTACGTAAGCTTCTACGTACTTTAACTTTTAAATATGAGGGCAAAACTATACCCTATTACACTTCACATGGGGTTTGAGCAAACTTTAATTTTTAATCACATTTGTATGTACGTGCATGAAATTGACATGTTAGCTTCTACATACCAGCAGACATCATGGTTATCAGCTACCTACACTTTGTCCTTGTTGAATACAATGTCATGATGAAATGTCTCGTTTGTTTACATGCCTTCGTCGCATGGCTGGTTGGTTGGTTTGTTGTTTAATGCCGCACTCAGCAATATTCCAGCTGTATGACGGCGGTCTGTAAATAATCCAATCTGGACCAGACAATCCAGTGATTAATAGCACGGGCATCGATCCACTTAAATGGGATCGATGACATGTATCAACCAAGTCAGCGGGCCTGACCACCCGATCCCATTAGTTGCCTCTTACGACAAGCATAGTCGCTTTTTACAACAAGCATGGCTTGCTGAGGACCTATTCTACCCCGGATCTTCATAGGTAGCTGTCGCATGGCAAGAGAACGGTTTTGCGGCGTCAGGCAATAAATACTTACTATTTTTATGAAAATTCTGTGAATGACGGGTGCTACCGGTCAAACAGGTCATGCTCACCCCTTTCGCGAATTCCAGGGATCATCACATATTTTTAGTGGTCCATTATTATAATTTCACAGCTATGTTGTCCTTTACGCCCAATGGAGTCTTCTTCGGCGGATAATCAACATTGACATTTTATAAGTATAAGTCATCCTTTTACAGAATTTACATGTTATTTCATGACTTCATTGTATTATATTTCACATAAGTGTTCCTGTTGATGTGAATGTTTTATCAACAGCAAACTGCGTTTATTATATGTTGGATTTTGCAAAGTGTGATTAATATTCGCATCGGTTGACTACATTTAATATAATCAGTAGGCTGACTCCACGATTATACACCAGGGCAAAAGTAAAGTACTCCTTACTTCAACTTCTTCCAACTTCAGATGTGATTCAGCGTCAAGTACATGTGACGTATTTACAATGAACATAACTTCATCTATTGTAAATTTTGTTAATGTCCATATGTGATGGGCGTAAAGGGAAGTTAATGTTTCTGTGAATCATTTTACATTTGCCAAATATTAATGACATACAGTCACGCTCTTTTAGTCTTGTGACTTCACATATGGTCAGATTATACATTTTCTCACCGCGAATAGATGAAAGATTGCTGATGCAGCGTTACTCTTGTGGCCTCGAACTTGCACCAGGTTAATTCTGTATGGTCCAAAAACATCCCCGGGTCACTGTGTATAGTTATTGATAAATCTACTCTAGTTGGTTTTAAAAATACTTTTAGATTGTCGCCTGAGCCTACATGTAGATATTGTCGTAAGTCAGGGCGTATTAATTCCGAACGTAAAAAGCTGGTTTCTTCCCGTAATGCTTTTGTGAATATCAGATCACAGCCTTCCGAGGTTCGGATAAAGAGAAGTTAGCTTTTTGTAGACCAGTAGTGAGAGGAGTAGTTACCTTTGGTTGGTAATTGGTTTGTGTCATCTAGCTATCATTCAATCATTCAAGAAATGAGTTTTGATGAGGAAATAAAATCCGCCAGATGTTCCTGCTAATAATAAATGGAAACCTTTTCCTCAAATTGTTCTTCCAAATTCATATAAAAAACATGTTTTGTGTTAGACACATGAAACTCGTTTGACAGGTCATTTGGATGTGAACAAAATTCTATCCCATTTGTTTTGACCTAATTTGGGGCATGGTGTGGTTGAACATGCCATTTATGTAAAAAAGTTGGCAAACCTAATCCGAAAATCCTAACTGCACCTTTGAAACTCATACCGGCCTTTGAAGAACCTTTCAGATTTGTCATTATTGATTGTGTTGTTTCGTTGCCTAAACCTAGGTCAGAGGAGAATAATTACATGCTTACTATCATGTGTGCTTCCACAAGGTTTCCAGAGACTATTCCTTTACGGAGAGTTATGGCTTAGGTTATTGTTCAAGGCTTTGGTAAAGGTCTTCACTGAGGTTTGTTTGTCCAGGATTATTCAGTCAAATCATGGCTCTTATTTCATGTCATGTATTTTCCAGCATCAGTTAGGCAAATCCAGGTTAAGTCTAGATCATATAATCCTGAATTTCACGAAGCTTCTGAGAGACTCTTAAGAATATGACAAGGACTTACTGTCTTGAAACTGAGAAGGATTTTGAAAAAGATTTCAGACTGACAGTAAATCGCCTGATGCACTGGAGCCGTGTCTTTGCAGGGTCTTCATTAGACAGTAAGGATTTTAAAGGCAAAGACAACATTATTGCTGGTGCAGTTGGCAGAATGTGATCAGTTTTGACTGCAAACATGATTTTGCATTTTTGTAAAATATCATAATTATTCAATTCCATTGTAATTGAACTGCCATTGAATGTTGTACTGCCACTATATTGTACACTGCCATTGCAATACTTTGCAATAATTTCCATTGATCAGAAACCTAGTTAATTTATACCATTTCTTGGTTTCACACTGAATTCTTTTACGATTAGATTTCAGGGTTATTATGCTAACTCTCAGAAAGTAAAACAAAAACAACAGTTTGGTGGGAATAAATGGGCGCAGTATATTTCAAATTGGACAGTAGCTGGGAGCCTAGGGACCTAAAAGCTATAGTGGGTGCCTACCCGAAGGTACCTGGGCAACCCAAGCAAAGCAAAGGAAGCACACACCTACTAGGATATCAACATTCACATCGATAGCGCCTCCTTAAGCACTGCAGCAAAAACCTAGTACACAAGCAGTGTACGCACATACAAATCAAAGCATTACCAGTTGGAGTGTCACACTGACTGGTGATACTGAGAGTAGTTAACAGGTGGGGTATGCATTACTCAATGCAATAACAACAAGCTAAAGGCATTTGGCCCCCAGATTCCCCGCCACCACTTCTTGTCTATGCAAGAATGCCCCACCAAATGTACCATTGCCAGCAAGCCACCAGATGTTTGGGATTAATAAGCTAGAGAGCCAACATATGAATGGTATTCACAGCATTTTCAATGCTGTCTTGCAAAATTGTTAAATAAATGTCATTACCCAAATCAGAGAGGTGGATCCTATCATACACCGGGTCACGGTACATGCCAGATATTTGACTTGTTATGTCATGTTTAACCATAATACCCGCTCGGCTACAAACAGCCACAGCCGCAAACCAATTGACCCTTTTGCTCTTATGCTCAATAGCAGCATTATTCTTGGCCCCACGCCAGTGTAGTCTAGGAAGCATCTCTGACCACATTAACTTGGTTTGGGTCATAAGCTTAGTGATAGCTTGAGCATAACTGTTTACCACTTCTATCGACAAGGTCATTGGACCCCAACTGTATAACAAGTATTTTGGGGGTGGCGACCTCTGGATCTTTCATCTGAGATATGGGATTAGTTGTTGCCACTTCATCCCCCTTTACCCAAGCCAAGTTATCCCTCCGCCAGGTTTTTCCAAAGACAGATGTAAACATATTGGTCGTCCAACTGCCCTTCTGTGAGCCCAGTACACAATCGATGAGCCGACTATCCAAATTTCTGTAAACATATGAAGAATTTGATGACGAGATACTGAATTAAGCCAAGTTGATTCTAATATATGATTTAAAGGCATTTGACTTCCACCGGCCCCACTCCAGGGTTGTTTGCTCTGGGATGCCTTGAATGGCAGCAGTTGTGGCTGCACCAATGCGAAATGACTGTGATTTGTATTATGATGTACAGCAGCCAATAAATCTAAGAGCCTTAGCATGTACAGCCCTGAATTGAAACTGAGTCACTGGACTAGTACTGTAGTGAAGAAACAGTTGAGTAATATCGTCATCTAGGGCTGTGACATCACCAAACAGTTATCTGCTCTCATGTTTTGATCCAGATGGTGTGACCTCACTTACCCAGAGAAATCCATAAAATGTAAGCGAGAACATGGCCTTGAACAAGCATGCTTCATAGCGTGATGAGCAGACATGCTGCAAACCGTGCATAAGTTTCTCAAGAAAACAAAGGGTAATTGGGGCCCTGCTATCATCCATGGAAGACATGTTCCTCATACCTTTCAGCATTTTTCTCATTTTCTCTTTTTCATCAGGTCAGGAAAGCCAAGTAATTTATGTTGTCTGCCCAATCCTGACAAATGTTGTGCAGCTGTAGCTGGCGATGCCTGTTTTAGTGACAAGTAACCTAAATATCTTACTAAATGCTGTAAGGGGGCTGGCCATGTGGCTGGAAGACCTACTTGTGATCTGAACATCTCAAATTGATTTACTGCAGATTTAAATGCTTTCCTAGTATTCTCTGCGATCGAATGGTCTAGTAGCCTTTCAGCTTCAGTATCAGATTCCAAATTGAAGTTGGTATCTGTGTTGACTCTGCGTCCGCACCTGGTGCCAACTGACGAAACCTCTGAAATTCAGATCGAGACAACGCGTCTGCTATTGTGTTGAGCTTACCTGGGATGTATTTGCCTCTTACCATAAGATTAACTTCCAAACAGCTGAGAACTAATGCTCTTAGGAGTACCATAACCCGCGGTGACTTTGCAGATAATTTTTTCAAAATGGTCACAACCGCTTGATTGTCAGTGTTGAAAACAACCTTCTTGTGTTGGAGGTGATGACCTTGCAGGTTTACTGCAATGATTATTGGAAATAGTTCTAAAAATGTAATGTCAGAAAGGAAACCAGCTTCAATCCATTCCTTTGGACACTTTTCTGAAACCCATCTTCCGTTGAAATATATCCCAAATACCATGTCTTCTGCACCTGCACTATCGGTGTACAATTGAATCTGATCATTATCCATCCATAACCTATTTTGAAATACAGATATGCCTTTGTTGTTTCTGAAGAAGAAGAACCATGTTGATAAATCCAGTTTGATCTCCTTAGTAATGCGAATCCTGTCATGTGGTTGTGAACATACTTCGTGGAGTCAATCATTCTTCTAGAGAAAGGACATCCCATAGGGATAGCTCTGCATAGACAATTTAAGGTTCCAATGAGAGACTGCATCCTTTCCAAAGTGATTTTTGCGTTTTCCCATTAATTACGAGAGTAGATCCAGACACTTGGCAATTTTATCTGGAGGAATCCTGACCAACATCTCCTCTAAGTCAATTTCTAGGCCCAAAAAGGTGATCTTTGTACAAGGTTGTACTGTTTTTTCATGTGCTACAGGGACCCCCAAGTCTTCACAAAGATTCATAAAAGTATCTAGTGCTATGCTGCATTCATTTGTATTCATCTCACCTCCAAACAGAAAGTCATCCAGGTAATGTAAAACATCTCCAGCTTGAATTGATTGTTGGACAGCCCATTGAAGAAAAGATGCAAACTTTTCAAAGAGAGCACAACTTACCTTGCATCCCATGGGTAGGCACATATACACATAATACTGTTGCTTGAATTTTATTCCTAAGTCTGAATGATTAATAGGACAAAGTCTAAAAGCACTCTTTATGTCAGACTTTGCTAACTGGCAGCTTTTACCTAAAGTTTGAACTATTTCAACTGCACTGTCAAAACTAGTTTATTTTACTCATGCTGACTTCTCTTCAATGTGATCATTAACTGATGAGCCTATCTGACAGGATAAATGGTGTATTATTCGAAACTGACCTGGTTCTTTTTTAGGTACAATACCTATCGGTGATATCCTGAGATAACGAGTAGGTATTGGTCGATACTGGAACGGACCTAACATTCTCCCTGCTTTTATTTCTTTATTAAGTTTATCATGAGTGACCGCAGTGTTTCCTTCTGCAGAATTTAGGTAAGGAGATTCTGTTTCCTTACGAGGACCACTATAGTTCAAAACAAAACCCTGTGTGAGCCTTCTATTAATTCTGCTGCCGCTGCCTGATCCTGATCCGGATACCTTTCGAGCAAAATTCTCAATACACTAGTCTTAATGGGTTAGAAACCTTCAATGGAAAGCTGAAACTTTTGGCTTATTTTGGTTTGTTCGAAATCTGCAGGATTTCATGGGATAAAGTTTGGTACACTGAATACAAGAATGGGAATACTTGCAATTTTGTCTGCTACAGCTCCGGTAGTTGTAATCATAACATGGCCATGGGCGACGGCCCTGCATGTTGGACTGGGGTGATCTAGTCCGCATACTCTGTTTGGAGTGGTTGTTCTTGAACATCAGCCAATAATCTGGATAGATTCTTGCCCATGAATTGCTGGGATCGCGTACCTGTCTAATTCTAAAATGTTGATCATATGATCTCCAACCTAAACCATCATATTTTTGTCCTGCCTACCTGGTATTCATATACTTAATCTACTGTTGGTGCTTTTCTGGGAATCTTTTTAGGGAAACGATCATGTAAATAAGGAAGCATGTAGACAATGCTGGCTGAAGATTTTTTCATAACCTCAATACCACCCCTACTATTCATTGTTACCATCAGATCCGGGATAGAATAGGTCTTCAGTAACCCATGCTTGCCGTAAAAGGCGACTATGTTTGTCGTAAGAGGAGACTAACGGGATCGGGTGGTCAGGCTCGCTGACTTGGTTGATGCATGTCATCGATCCAGATTGCGTGGATGGATGCTCATGATATTAATTACTGGATTGTCTGGTCCAGACTCGATTATTAACAGACCGCCGTCATATAGCTGGAATATTGCTGAGTGCCGCGTTAAACAACAAAAGAACCAACCAATGTTACCATCCCAATATGCTGTGATTCAACCAATCCTGATTGGGTTGCCTTCAGAATAATAATGATAATTCCAGATTTTTTCTTTCAGTGATTGTGGCAATGGGTCTCTTATCTTGTCTTCAACACACCAAATAATGGGGGTATCGTTCATATCTTCAGCAATTTCTGAACTAGTTAGGCCACTCGACTGACCACCCTGTTCATGGTTTAAGTTGATTGATGGAAAGGTTGAAACAGAAACCGCCTCACCTGATTTTGGCGCCTTTTTGGTCTTGTCAGCTGACATTTTCAATCTCTTGTATCCACCTGTGGTCCCTGTCCCGTCAGTGTTCTGCGTCATCCGTGTTGCGTTGTCTGTCCCCTCTGTCTCATCTCGTTGACGCTTTCGGCCGTCTTCCTTCGCCTTTCTTATCTGTAGCTTCTTGCCTCGTGGCATACTGTTGATTGGCGAGCCGTTGGTTACATTTAACTGCACATAGCGTTCTGACAACATCGGCAAGAAGAGACAAAACGCGACTTGAATCTGTATATAAAGTCAACGTTACCAAAGGGAGGTAACTCTTAGGGCCCATCAATATTTCATGCCGCTAATAAATGAATTTATCCTGGTATTATATCTTTTACTTAGCGGATAAACTTAATTAACTTGTTGTTTTAGCTTGGAAGATGACAGGTAACATGCATTGAATATAACTTTTGAAATGGTATACATGAATATGTTTATTTTACTGCGTTAATTTTGGATTATTATTGATAGTATTTAACACTTCAGTGGTTGCATTGTTGTGATAGCATTTTTTTCTATTTCCAAAGTGCTCTTATACCACATACTTCATTAGACCACTTACCAAGCTGGAATTATCTGTGAAGAATTATATTTGAGAATACAACCTTCATTTGGAGTGAAATATCTGACATATATCATTCTTCCTTCTAGGTATAGGAGCTATCGTTGACATTCTAAAGCCAAATCCAGGGTTGAGAGACTGTACTCTCCCCAGGGAGTTCACAGTGCGTGTAAGGACACACAATGACTCCGTCACTCTTCAGTTGGAGACCAGCACGTCAGTGAAGAAAACAACCCCCGTATATGTATCTAGACAGGATGAGAAGGGGAACCCAATCATCGTCAGAGATACAGTGTTGGAGCTGGAGGTAATAATGCTGTCATAACTCAGTATTTGTTGCAAGAGTTGTTATAATGTAGATTAGATGAGAACGTATGTAGTATGGTATATAATCATGATATCAATTTTTACAGAGATCGTTTACGCATATTAGCAAAAGGGCATGTACGGGTGTAGAAAATACAAGAAACTAACCCAGAACTGTTTGTGAGACCTTTATCAATGCAATAATCATTCTTGACATTTAACCAAGTCAAAATGTATTTTTACATTATCTAAAGGGTGGGATGTGTATTCAATTGTCAAAATATCATTTGCATATTTCATTTTCAAAATTGATAAAATCATTTTTCACTATTATCTTTTATATAGAAATTTACTTTACCCTTCTCAAAAACATTTGACGCGTGAAGATCCGCGGTAGAATGGGTCTTCGGAAATCATTCTTGCTGTAAAAGGCGACCTTGCTTGTTGTAAGAGGCGACTAACGGGATCTGGTGGTCAGGCTTGCTGACTTGGTTGATGCAGGTCATGGTATTCCAATTGCTCGGATCGATCCTCGTGATGTCAATCACTGCATTGTCTGGTCCAGACTCGATTATTTACAAACCGCCGTCATATATCTGGAATAGTGCTGGGTGGGGCGTTGAACAACAAGCAAACAAACAAAGCAATTGCGTATCTCAATGTTCTTGATGTCTATCATTGGATTGCCTTGTCCAGACGAGAATATTTAAAAAACACTGAAATATGGCTGAAATATTGAGTCCGGCATTAAACAACAAACAAAATAAAACAAAACATGTTTTACAATCTTAACCATGTTTATTTCTATCTTGTTTATTAGCACAAGAATATTTAATCTTCAAGGAAACAACCGTCCGTGATACATACCGGCGTTTTAAAAAGCAAAGAAAGAAGTGTCGCACCTATATCTGCAAATACGTCACTTGCTTACTTTGGAAAATATATGTCATTAAGCTCATATTAACCTGATATGCATAAGGGTAAGCTAGACATTAGCACAATTCAAAAACGACACTCTCCTATTGATAAAGAATGTCATTTCCTGTTCTAATTATTACCACATACCTTTTAATTTTCTTTCAGGGAACAGCCGAATACCAGGATGTGATTCACATGGCTAACATCGAGGTTACCTGCGTTATTAAGGCAGAGAACCAACCGTATTATGCATTTGTATGTGTCACCACTTTTCAAACTAATATGAAAATGTTGAATGGCAATTGTTATCATCTGTATGATGCGCCCATAATCAATTAAGATCAACAGAACAACGCCTGTGTCGATTGTATAGATAGTTCTATACATCAAGTTCCTTTTAGATGGAAACCAGAAGGAAATATCTCCAGAAGGAGTTCGCTATCAATTTAAATAATACCTTTAAAGTAGAACAGGTTTCAGTCTTCATGAATGTGACGCCTCATATAAAATGCATTTCGTTTACATGTGCTACAATTCGTTCATAATTATCATTCGCGATTGAGGCGGACATTTCGAACACAAGGATTAGAATTATTGTGCGAGCCACAGATTGTTTTATCTTTTGAAAGTTCACCAAAGTAGCTGTATTGTAAGGTCATAAAAATAGTTTTAACAGATATATATTTTGAGTCTATGAAATGTAATTCAACACGCAAATAATGAAACAGATGCAAATTACAGTTGTTGTTTATACACCAGGAAGGGTTTCTCTTGCTCAATGGACCAAGTATGTATGAGCTGAAGCCGACAGGAACAGAATCAGCTTCCAGTGATATCAAATACACACTTACTTCTTCCCCAGTACACATTCCACCAATAGATAATGATGGTAAGGTGTTCGTCGGTTTAACGGAAACAAAGAAATCCTCCGTTGGATGTTCTAAAAATAATTTCTTTCGTTGTTCCTTTCAGAATATTGTATGTTTTGTGACACAAAAATCCCGGCTGCACCCAAATATGTAATGGTCGGTCCGTTATGACAGTAAAGTTATCTGACATTATTACATGGTAGTGTCGACTATGACACGACCAAGTAAAGAAAATGGAGAGGGGCGTTTTTCAAGGTTATATCTGTAGAGATGCAGGTTTTTTCAAGGTTATATTTGTAGAGATACGCGAATGCAAGACTGGTTCGAAACAATCAATAATATTTTGGCATGATAACCGATAGTAAGTTGTTTTGCACATTATCAAGAAACAGAAATAAGAAATGGTTAACGTAGAGGTTACAAATAACATGAGTAAATGTCACATGGACATGTGTGTATTTTATTCAGATGATGGCGAGAAGGGTCAGTCAGGAAGTGACAGTGAGATGATGGCATCAGAATCCTTGAGGAAGAAGCGCCAGATTCAGGAGCCAATCTACGTGGACGTTATTACGGTGATAGCGTTCTCTGTTTATGAAAGGTACTTGTCTTTTTACCTCACAACACAGTTAAACCAATCAATAATGTCATACTGCAATGTGTCTTACCTAGCAAGATATTAATATCTCTGACACAATAAATACATTTGCCATTCAATCCCTGCAAATAGATCCTTTGTATTGTGTACCATGGGAGATTTTATCTTGTCAACGCATTTTCTGGTAGTTGATTCCGTTGTATGTGACAGATGGTATTCCAGAGCAACCCAGCTGTCCGAAGCCTTGAAGCACCAGGAGACAAAACAAGGCATCAAAAGACACTTTGCACATCTTGTAAACGGGGTGAGGTTTCTACTAGTAACAACTTCTTGAATACTGTAAAGGCGACGTTTCGGTATAGATCCTGGCGAGCAAATGGTTGTTGTCAGTCTTGCTTCACAACGGTAAAAGGATCTATACCGAACATAGCCTTTACAGTATTAAAGAAGCTGTTATCCATGAATTGTGTCTACTTTATATTTTGTCAATTAAAAAAATCATTAAGTAAATTTAACAGTTTAGCATAGATCGCTTACGTGATAATATGGGTTAGTTTGGATACAAATTGACAAGTTTAGATGTTGTCATGATCTTATTATCATTGTTCCTGTTAAGTAACCTTAACATACTATTTCCCTTTCCATAACAGGTAGATCTCCGTTATAAGAAGGCGTCCCCTCTGTACAACATAAACCTGGTAGGATATATCATTGAGGTAAGATGTGTGCCTCAAGGGGTGTTAGGTAAACAAACACTGGCGTATTATATTATAAGTTTTTAACTTTTTAATTGTACGCTGTATTGATGGTGATATCTGATAGCGTCACTGTGAAGGTGACACTAAGTTTACCTTGTGTTAAGGTATTATGTTGACATCACCTATGATCACAGTTCATATGTACCAAACACAATTCAGCTTAGCTATGACGGTAGATTTACCCCAAAGAAAGTAGCTAGATACACCATTTTCAAAAGCACAATAACAACAAATACAGGATTACTAAATTTTTAAAAACATGGTTATGATAAGACAATATAGATATTATCGTCAATAATTAAACATTCCGATTCACTCCATTATATGAGCCTAGGATTTCTGTAGGATATAAAAAAATTCAATCTCTAATTTGAGACATGCAACCTTCAACTACATATCGTTTGGTTATACATGTATGTCTCACGGTACTCCGTGTATCATTATCATGTATGTATCATGGTACTCCATGTATCATTATTATGAATGTATGATGGTACTCCAAGTATCTTTATTACGTATGTCTCACGGTACTCTATGTATCATTATTTTGTATGTATCATGGTACTCCGTATATCATTATTATGTATGTATCACAGTACTCCATATAACATTATTTTGTATGTGTCATGGTGCTCCATGTATCATTATTATGTATGTGTCATGGTACTTCATGTATCATTATTTTGTATGTCTCACGGTACTCCATGTATCATTATTTTGTATGTATCATTGTACTCCATGTATCATTATTATGTATGTCTCATGGTACTCCATGTATCATTATTTTGTATGTCTCACGGAACTCCATGTATCATTATTTTCTATGTATCATGGTACTCTGTGTATCATTATTTTGTATGTCTCACGGAACTCCACGTATTATTATTTTGTATATGTCATGGTACACCATGTATCAGTATTATGTATGTATCATGGTACTCCATGTATCATTATTATGTATGTATCATGATACTCCATGTATCATTTTGTATGTATCATGGTACTCCCAGTATCTTTATTATGTATATCTCACGGTACTCTGTGTATCATTATTTTGTATGTATCATGGTACTCCGTGTATCATTATTATGTATGTCTCACGGAACTCCATCTGTCATTATTTTGTATGTATCATGGTACTCCATGTATCATTATTTTGTATGTATCATGATACTCCATGTATCATTATTCTGTATGTGTCATGGTACTCCATGTATCATTAATATGTATGTCTCATGGTACTCCGTGTATCATTATTATGTTTGTATAATGATACTCCATGTATCATTATTATGTATGTGTCAAGGTACTCCATGTATCATTACTATGTATGTATCATGGTTCTACATGTATCATAATTATGTATGTCTCACGGAACTCCATGTATCATTATTTTGTATGTATCATGGTACTCCGTGTATCATCATTTTGTATGTATCATGGTACTCCGTGTATCATTATTTTGTATGTATCATGGTACTCCGTGTATCATTATTTTGTATGTCTCACGGAACTCCATGTATCATTATTTTGTATATGTCATGGTACTCCGTGTATCATTATTATGTATGTCTCACGGAACTCCATGTATCATTATTTTGTATATGTCATGGTACACCATGTATCATTATTATGTATGTATCATGGTACTCCATGTATCCTTATTATGTATGTATCATGATACTCCATGTATCATTATTTTGTAAGTATCATGGTACTCAAAGTATCTTTATTATGTATATCTCACGGTACTCTGTGTATCATTATTTTGTATGTATCATGGTACTCCATGTATCATTATTATGTATGTCTCACGGAACTCCATCTATCATTATTTTGTATGTATCATGATACTCCATGTATCATTATTATGTATGTCACCTGGTACTCCATGTATCATTATTTTGTATGTCTCACGGAACTCCATCTATCATTATTTTGTATGTATCATGGTACTCCATGTATCATTATTATGTATGTCACCTGGTACTCCATCTATCATTATTTTGTATGTCTCACGGAACTCCATGTATCATTATTTTGTATATGTCATGGTACACCATGTATCATTATTATGTATGTATCATGGTACTCCATGTATCATTATTTTGTATGTATCATGATACTCCATGTATCATTATTCTGTATGTGTCATGGTACTCCGTGTATCATTATTATGTATGTCACCTGGTACTCCATGTATCATTATTTTGTATGTCTCATGGTACTCCGTGTATCATTATTATCTTTGTATCATGGTACTCCATGTATCATTATTATGTATGTGTCATGGTACTCCATGTATCATTATTATGTATGTATCATGGTTCTACATGTATCATAATTATGTATGTCTCACGGAACTCCATGTATCATTATTTTGTATGTATCATGGTACTCCGTGTATCATTATTTTGTATGTATCATGGTACTCCGTGTATCATTATTCTGTATGTGTCATGGTACTCCATGTATCATTATTATGTATGTCTCATGGTACTCCGTGTATCATTATTATGTTTGTATCATGGTACTCCATGTATCATTATTATGTATGTGTCATGGTACTCCATGTATCATTATTATGTATGTCACCTGGTACTCCATGTATCATTATTTTGTATGTCTCATGGTACTCCGTGTATCATTATTATGTTTGTATCATGGTACACCATGTATCATTATTATGTATGTATCATGGTACTCCATGTATCCTTATTATGTATGTATCATGATACTCCATGTATCATTATTTTGTAAGTATCATGGTACTCAAAGTATCTTTATTATCTATATCTCACGGTACTCTGTGTATCATTATTTTGTATGTATCATGGTACTCCATGTATCATTATTATGTATGTCTCACGGAACTCCATCTATCATTATTTTGTATGTATCATGATACTCCATGTATCATTATTATGTATGTCACCTGGTACTCCATGTATCATTATTTTGTATGTCTCACGGAACTCCATCTATCATTATTTTGTATGTATCATGGTACTCCATGTATCATTATTATGTATTTCACCTGGTACTCCATCTATCATTATTTTGTATGTCTCACGGAACTCCATGTATCATTATTTTGTATATGTCATGGTACACCATGTATCATTATTATGTATGTATCATGGTACTCCATGTATCATTATTTTGTATGTATCATGATACTCCATGTATCATTATTCTGTATGTGTCATGGTACTCCGTGTATCATTATTATGTATGTCACCTGGTACTCCATGTATCATTATTTTGTATGTCTCATGGTACTCCGTGTATCATTATTATCTTTGTATCATGGTACTCCATGTATCATTATTATGTATGTGTCATGGTACTCCATGTATCATTATTATGTATGTATCATGGTTCTACATGTATCATAATTATGTATGTCTCACGGAACTCCATGTATCATTATTATGTATGTATCATGATACTCCATGTATCATTATTATGTATGTATCACGGTACTCCATATATCATTATTATATTTGTATCATGGTACTCCATGTATCATTATTATGCATGTATCATGGTACTTCATGTATCATTATTATGTATGTATCATGATACTCCATGTATCATTATTATGTATGTATCACGGTACTCCATATATCATTATTATATTTGTATCATGGTACTCAATGTATCATTATTATGTATGTAGCATGGTACTCCATGTATCATTATTATGTATGTATCATGGTACTCCATGTATCATTATTATGTATGTGGCATGGTACTCCGTGTATCATTATTATGTATGTATCACGGTACTCCATGTATCATTATTATGTACGTATCATGGTACTTCATGTATCATTATTATGTATGTATCATGGTACTCCATGTATCATTATTATGTATGTATCATGGTATTTCATGTATCATTATTATGTATGTATTATGGTACTCAGTGTATCGTTATTATGTATGTATCATGGTACTCCATGTATCATTATTATGTATGTATCATGGTACTCCATGTATCAGTATTATGTATGTATCATGGTACTTCATGTATCATTATTATATATGTATCATGGTACTCCATGTATCATTATTATGTATGTATCATGGTACTCCATGTGGCATTATTTTATATGTATCATGGTTCTCCGTGTATCATTATTATGTATCATAGTACTCCATGTAACATTATTATGTATGTATCATGGTACTCCATGTATCATTATTATGTATGCATCATGGTACTCCATGTATCATTATTTTGTATGTATCATGGTACTCCGTGTATCATTATGTATGTATCATGGTACTCCGTGTATCATTATTATGTATGTATCATGGTACTCCATGTATCAATATTATGAATGTATCATGTTACTCCATGTATGATTATTTTGTATGTATCATGGTACTCCATGTATCATTATTTTGTATGTATCATAGCACTCCGTGTATCATAATTATGTATGTATCATGCTACTCCGCGTATCATAATTATGTATGTATCATGGTATTCCATGTACCATTTTAGGATGTGCAGTTACCACGACCGTTCCAAGGCGCTGTAGTTAATGAAACGAAGATAGATGGTGATAAACTTCTCAGTGGCACAAGGCAATGGAAGGCTGACACACCAGGATTCCCTGACAATGACCACATTATTGTGTTCACAGCGTGAGTTGTCACAATCAGCTTCAAGTATATTTAAAGTATATTAAATTCACACATTTCCCTGACCATCTTATTCCATGTTGTGTTATCTCTGTATTAGTTGCCCGTGTTGTACTTGTGTTTGTTTTCATTCATTCATTAGTTCTCTCTGCTTATTGTCTGAAGCACTGGTGATGCAGGGTTAAATTTGAACTCGCTCACTCCCAAATTCGCCCTGATTATGTTTCCGGTATTGTGGTAATATGTTCACGTCTGAGACCCTCACATCGGGTCAAGGGCAGTGCCATTTACAGCCATGTAATGAACACTTTATAGGAAGGAACACTCGACATCGGTTCAAAATTCAGCTTCAAAACACTTTAAATACTGACATGGTATCAGGCTCAAGATGTCCAGGAGTCTTCTGGCGGCAGCATATTCATGGTTCACAACAAAAAGGAACTAAAAGTCAGTATCGGAAACGAAATATTTTCAATGAATCGAAGAAAGAAACGACACAAGGCAATTTGGCTACTGACTCTTTAGAACATCAAACATAAATCTAACACGTGGATATATGACTAAAATTATGCTTAAACTTAATTAACTCTCTCAATTAAAGAATCCAGGGCTATCATTAATATGGTGATACTCTGTCCTGCTTAATCTCTGTCGGTGCTCAAAGATCATGTCATGTTACCAATTCGTTTTAGGAACGATCTGTTCATTGTGGCAAACACCGGAAAAACGAGTAACCTGCTTGGTGAGTCGTAGTATATTTTCTCAAATCATTCGTTGATTTTGGATTGAGAATCTAAATATTTTAGCAATGTATACATGCCTTTTGTAACACTTGGTTCGGGGATACCTTGATGTGTACTCAAAAGGAAAACTAATTGTGGTCATATTATATTATAATTATTCGTGTTTAGAAAGACATTACTCATATCGCCTCTTGATTTCCTTCAGAAAAACTAATATACTTCTGTTTAATTGATATATGAAATGGCTAAGGATTTGCTTTAGACAAATTACAAACAAATCATAGTGATATATGTGTTGTTCTTTACCCAGTGTTAAAGGTATTGTCATTTTCATGTTCATCTGTTCTACCCAGAACATTCCTTGCGTATACCAAAATGCTACCGTTGCCATGGCCACGCGCGTGGCCAACGGCGATTGCAGCTAGCGCTGCTGGCCTGAGACTGCTTCCGCTGTCCGGCCCCCACGGTAGCATATTTAACCGCTACCATTGCTTGGCAACTCCCACGCTGCCAAAAGCATCTCCACGCTGCTGGCCTAAGTCAGACTACCGCTGCCCGGCCCCAGGTAGCCGGCCAAAGCAGATCCCACTGCCCGGCCCCATTAGCAAAACCATTGTGCGGCTCCCACGCCGCGGACCCAACTGTCAGCTACCGCTTGACAAGACGACTTCCGCCGCCGGGCCCATATACGTGGCAATTGTTTGCCCCAACGTATGTTATTTTACGATTCCCCGGCTGAAAAGTCGGGAAAGACAAGGTTCCCACTGAGAAGCAGGTAACCCCGGAAAGGTTCCCGCTGAAAAGCAGGTAGCCTTAAGCACGAGTATTAATTTGGAAGCAAGTTAATTTGTTACTAGCAGTGTAGCCCACAAGAACCCCGCACACCTCGACATAGTTTATTGTTGAGACAGGTATTGCATATATACATATCTACAGCTATAAGGAAGTCATGTTTATTTACATATATCAGAATCGTTTAAGAGTATGTCCTTATATACAAGCGCCCTGGAAACCTATTTTACATATGTACAGGTTTATTTACATATAAACAATCCGCTCTGCTGGTACCTGTAATAGAATAAACGCTGAAGAAAAGAAGTGATTAGCATTCCAGGTGAAGAGGACACGTCAGGCTGAAAAGGAAAGAAAAGGAGTGGCAAGCTGGGTGGGTGGGTGGGAAAGCGATTAGATACAGTGACACACGTGTGTACTTTGGGAAGGGCTGTTCGCGAATGACGGACTAACAAAGGCGGGATGATGCTTGCGCGGGATTATTCCCCGGGCACGGTGCCGAGTGGTGGCCCGGGGTGATTGAGTTACGGGGGGTGATTGGGTTACAGACGTAATTAGCCCATGGTTTGGATACGCGCGATAAAGTCATTTAGTAGTTAGTACTAAATGTAATTATCCCGCGATATGCCAAGGAGAGGCACGGGCCACCGAGCCGTGGATGCCCGTGCCTAAAATAAAAACAGAAGATGAGATTGGGTTAAATGGCCGAGGATGTGCAGGTACTAGTGGGCTACTTAGCTGCTAATTGTGTATACCAAAATGCTACCGTTGCCATGGCCACGCGCGTGGCCAACGGCGATTGCAGCTAGCGCTGCTGGCCTGAGACTGCTTCCGCTGTCCGGCCCCCACGGTAGCATATTTAACCGCTACCATTGCTTGGCAACTCCCACGCTGCCAAAAGCATCTCCACGCTGCTGGCCTAAGTCAGACTACCGCTGCCCGGCCCCAGGTAGCCGGCCAAAGCAGATCCCACTGCCCGGCCCCATTAGCAAAACCATTGTGCGGCTCCCACGCCGCGGACCCAACTGTCAGCTACCGCTTGACAAGACGACTTCCGCCGGGCCCATATACGTGGCAATTGTTTGCCCCAACGTATGTTATTTTACGATTCCCCGGCTGAAAAGTCGGGAAAGACAAGGTTCCCACTGAGAAGCAGGTAACCCCGGAAAGGTTCCCGCTGAAAAGCAGGTAGCCTTAAGCACGAGTATTAATTTGGAAGCAAGTTAATTTGTTACTAGCAGTGTAGCCCACAAGAACCCCGCCACAAAGCACCAGAGTGCTACCCCACACCCACGGCCACGCGATACGCGGAGATAGCATTGTTGCCCGGCTTGCCTATGTACTGAAAGGAAACACAAACCTGTGCAGATAACAAGCGCCAGGGCATGCAATAAATTGTCTGTAAACACACACAGTCCTTTGTCACTGAGGTGGACGCCCTCCCAGGCGTACCATGTCTTGTCTGATGCCAGGATCTGGGGATGTGGCACCATTGTACCGCCGAGCTCTTTGACTCGGTTGGCCAGTCGACGGTTGATATTCTTCCGCATCCCCTCGATCTTTAGTGGGTCCCTGGCATCGTGCCAGTAGCACCTGTGCAGCATTGAGGATGCGATGATCTTGGTGTCAGGAAGCTGGGGTTGTATCCGAAGGGTTGATGCCATGATGTCAAGGTAGCGTCAAGTCCCGTGTAGTTCCATCCGTCACCCACTGGGGTGGCCATGCGCCGTTAAACCATTTGCCCTGCATGTAGGCCCCGAAGCTGGCGCCACCCGCTGCGTCTGAAAACAGCTGGAGGAAATCGCTGTCCACCCATAGTTGGTCCTGAAACACTGAAATGCCTTTATAACTCGTAAGAAATGTTAACCACATTTGTAGGTCTTCCTTGACCCAGCTGGTAATCCTAATGTGGTGAAATGGTTGCTTACCTTTGCTAAGCAGATCGGTTAGCCTGCGGCTGAATGCCCTTGCCATTGGTATAGCCCTGCACATAAAGTTAAGCTTGCCTATGAGGGACTGAAGGGCCATTTTTGTGACCTTGATGTTACCTGTTGACAGGATGTCTTGGATTTCCCTTGATGCCTCCTTGATCTTGGACTCTGGGATTCTGATCTGCAGGTCCTAGAGCTATGGGAATGTTTGCCACACTTACCGCATTTGTGAGTGTACTTACAGTTGACCCTGCTACAGCCAAATTTATTGAAATCCCAGCATACCTGACTGGCGATGTCCCCCTGTACGCGTGTCATTGCGCCCCGTCCGCCTGATTGTGGTTGTAGTACCGGCTGTGTTACCATGTACTTCAGCCACAACTCCCCGTCGATGTTGTCCCAGCGTCGTGAGGGGTCCCTTGACATTCTGTGTCGGAATTGTTGGTCGTAGGTTGACCGGGCATCCCCCCGAATCGAAGTGCCGCCGTTCTTATGGTTTCCATGTAGGACAGCAACCCCTGGGTTGTGCGGACCTCGGAGTGCCTACTAACATATATACACATGAAAATGTGGAAAGCTGAAGTCCAGCTTGCCAGGGACAGGCGCTTTGGTTGCTGCTTTATTGGTTTAAAAATTACCTAACCTGAGGAGTCGTACGCCATGGTAATCGTACCGTCCTCGTGACTTCCCTCGGTGTCTGGTAGGATTGTGCCGAGGTCGACATACTCGCCACGCCAGATTTTTTTTTTTTTTTTTTTTTTTTTTTTTCCCTCACCGTTTGTTTGACGTGCGCGTCTTTTCCGTCCGCACGGAAGGAAAGGGAATCCCCGTATCCTGCGATGTGATTGGCTGGCCAAGCCGCGTCACCGTCGGCCTCGCTAACCGGCATGCGGTTTAAAGCGGCGTTAAACGGCTCTCACTCTGTCGTGTCATTCAGTCTATATTTTCTACGAATGTTATCCGAACTATCATCATAACCTAGGCCATCTGCGTTACAGAAAAGAATGTGGTACCAGAGATACCACGCGAATCTAAAGTTGGTGTTTTCATATGGGATTAAGAGCTACACGTGCCTAGTTCGGGAGTAGAACGGCATAAATGCGATACGGCGAGTGCTGAAATAGGTGGTATTCAAAGCAAAAGCGATTAGATACAGTGACACACGTGTGTACTTGGGGAAGGGCTGTTCGCGAATGACGGACTAACAAAGGCGGGATGATGCTTGCGCGGGATTATTCCCCGGGCACGGTGCCGAGTGGTGGCCCGGGGTGATTGAGTTACGGGGGTTGATTGGGTTACAGACGTAATTAGCCCATGGTTTGGATACGCGCGATAAAGTCATTTAGTAGTTAGTACTAAATGTAAATATTTCGCATCATCATAAATGCATATAATCACTGTAACCTTCATAATTGAGTCTAGCTTTTTAAGGTAAGCAATGCAAATGGCAACAGCAGGTATTTCTTGATACATGAGGTGGTTGGGTAACCTGGTGGTTGAAGCGTTCGCTCATCACGCTGAAGACGGGGTTTGAAGCCCATTTCTAGGAACACCCATTGTGATATTCCTGGAATATTTCTAAAGAAGGTTTAAAAAAATACGCTTTCCTGCTATATGTTAATGTGTTTCATGCTCAGTTTCCATCGTCGTTTTGTCACAGGATATGCATATGTAGGAACAATATGTGAAACACCATATAACAGTGTGTCAGCTGTGGAATACACTGACAATCTGATTGACGACATGCTCGTCACAACACACGAAGTCGGACATGCGTAAGTGTTTTTAATGTATAGTTTACCATGGGTTTTTTAATAGTTCATATTTATTGGTCGCCAGTGATTTCGAATCTACGCCAGATTACTAATATATACATGCAAAATCCATAATATATACGCGGCATGAAAAACCCGGAAACGACACATGTACTGGACATTTGTTGCTATTTATGTTAACCTAATCTCAAGTTGGTTGGTTAGTTTGTTGTTTTACGTCGCACTCACCAATATTCCAGCTGTTTGTAAATAATCGAGACAATCCAGTGATTGATGTCATGAGCATCGGGACGCAATGGGGATCGATGACATACTTCAACCAAGTCAGCGAGCCTGACCACCCGATCCCGTTAGTCGCCTCTTACGACAAGCATTATCGCCTTTAAGGGCAAGTAAGGGTTGCTGAAGACCTATTCTACCCCGGATCTTCAAGGACGCTTAACTGTGTGAATAAAGCAATTTCTCAGCATAAAAATTTCTTGGGTTAAATCCCTTCATTGATGCTGTGTGTGAAACGCATGGGATGGTGCTAGAATATTGAAAAAAATAGGGTGATGTAGAGAGTGAATATATCTTGTAAATTGAACCTGGTATTTTGCAGGCTCAGCGCCAGGCACGACGGGGAATACAACAACATGTGTAACTCTACATACAAGTACATCATGACCGGCAGCGGGTACAGCACGACCCATGTTCTTGACCACAACAACTACTACGTCTTTTCTACATGCTCGTCACGCTACTTTCAAACCTTCATCCAAGGAATCCTGACAAACGGGTTGGTATGAAAGACGAAACAGTGAAAAAGTAAATAAATGGAAAAGAAACCTGACAAACATCGACATGGGAGATGGGGGTACCATACATGTATTTCCAAACAGACGGATAGACAGACAGACAGACAGACAGACAGACAGGCAGACAGGTATAATGAAGTGGTGACCACTATATTAACTGTTCCTGATCATGCGATCAATTACCGTATTCGACGTAATAAGCGCCCCGCTCCAATAAGCGCCAACGGCGATATTTGCTGATATTTTGGCTGGTGAACAATCCCAATTAGCACCCCTTCCGATTGATCAATGTACACAACACATATGTATTCGCGTATAATACGCACTCGTGTGTTATATGCACCCTTAATTATGAGCAATTAAATTCTGGAAAAATGTATCTCTCGTATATAAACATTTCAGGATGTCAGGTTAAACCACAAAATTTATCTTTCAACCCTGGTTTTTTTTCACCAAAATAATATTCTGATAAGAGCCCCCTATTTCTAATTTTGAAAGCGCCCTGGGCGCTTATTACGTCGAATACGGTACATGTTTTTATACGTTTTATTTGATGGGAGCCTCAGGTTAACAAGGTTTTACTATAAACAGTTAACCATTTTGTTTAAATGTAGCCAAGCTAGATTTTGGATCAGGATTCAAAAGTGAGAAGGTAGTTTCTTTATCTATTGAGTGAATGTTACTTGTAAAGACGATTTGTGTGTGCATTATAAAATATGTATATCGTTTGAACTCGACATATTTAAGAAATAAACGACGAGAGGGAGTTATTTATCGTACAATAAAACACTGCAGGGAGAATAAACTGTACGATAAAACAACGACCACGAGACGTTTAAATCATATATGAGATATGAACATTTTGTACAGCCTTTTGAAGGATGTCAATAAATTGTACAAGCTTTAAAGACAGTAATCCATATTTAAAATAATGATGACACCCTGAATACAGTCAAACCTCGGCAATGTCGGACAATTCCATTTTGTGTACAAGGGGGGTTAAGTTTGGTATTATCACAACTGTCACGTAGATTATCTGCACCGTTTCTTCCAATACCGATTGTCATATCTCTTCCACTTTTGGATACGATCGTTTAGCTATTGCGTGTATCTGCTGTGTCCAGCTACATCTATGGGGAACAACTCACTTACCTCTCAAAAATAACGTCATCCAATTTACGACGTCATCAGATTACGAGCGCATGTTCGAATCTCCAGAAATGACGTCATGATAGAACAATGTTTTATCGTGAAATAGTTCTTCATCTTCTTAGCGATTTAACGTGTAGCTATCTTATATAGAAATTTGGTGCCATAATAAAAACAACCTTAACACTCAAACCTATATGTGAAATGAACACTTTATTACTGAAGATCTGGAATAATCCGACTCGTTTTGGGGTGTCAGACATTTGCTGTCGACAGCTTTTCACGTGATTCATTTTATACGGTGTATGCCAAAGTGGTTGTGTGCTTGCCCATGATAAGTCATCTAATACAATAAATTTGTTAGGTGTATCTAAGAATTATTTCATTACCTTTGTCCACGGCATTTCTTTCCTGACTATGAATACATTACTTATCCTTTGATTTAGCCAAAATCAACTTGTCAATTATAAAGTATTATTTACAATAAAAGCTGAGTTTCAGTGAGTTGTTTTCCATTAGCCCTGTTAAAATATGTTTTCCAAACCAATATATTTTCAACTTGGTTAGTGCGAAAGGTGATTGGTAAAGGTGACACATTGTTAGGAGTGAATATGTGTGGTGGTGTGTTCACTGGAATCCGAAACCAAGACCGTCGGTTGCTGGCGCAGCTAAGGCAAAATTAATAACTCTGCGTAACGTATTTACAGCATTATGGACCGCATCCGTGGTCTAGAGCGTCCGTCGGAGAGCGGAAGGTCCGGGGTTCGACCCCGGCCGCGTCATGCGAATAGACCTTGAAAGATGGTACTTGTTGCTACCCTGTCTGGCGCTCGGCATTAAGGGGCTAAAACAAGGACTGGTCGGCTCGGAGTCAGCATACTGTGTCTGAGAGGGTTATTCATGTTAAACTGCGGCAAGGTATCTTAGTGGGCTAGCACTATCAATCGGCATCAGTCCGGACTATTACAAGGAGCCACAAACGCGCGCGCACGCACACACCCACACGCACGCGCACACACACACACACACACACACACACACACACACACACACACACACGTGCATGCACATCGCTATATAAGTGCAATAATCTTGGACGCGACATAAAAAGAATATTTCTCCTCACCTCACCTACAATATTGTGACATTTTACAATATGTGCTGGTGCCTATGCCCATGAGTATATCCATATAACACAATACAGCCGTGATATTTCCTATTCAGTATCGTATATTTTTCAGTACAAATGCCCAACAGCAATGCCTACAGACGAGTCTCGAGCCGGCTTCTGTGACAAACATCACGGGGACGATGCCGGGACAGCTCTACGACGTTCACACGCAGTGTCAAATGATGTTTGGGCCAGGCTTCGTCTTGCGATCAGTACGAAAAATATATTTATTAGCATTAGAAGAAATCCTGCTTGGTCCATCATATACTAGACAGGTGTAAAACTGTCTTACTGGTATATTTTCATTATCACTATAGACATTTTACTCACTATTGAACATGGTCTTTACAGGATATTGACATAGGTAATTCAGAAAACATATGCAAGAGAATGGTCTGTGGCAAGGAACAGCTTCAGTCGTTCCGAAACGCTGCAGAAGGAACGTCATGTGGCAATAAAAAGGTAAGCCATCTGAACATCATATGTGTCTGTGTTTAACCCATGTTAACATGTGCATGCACTTCCCAGGGAACTGTGAATGGAAATTGAATGTAAACATGTTCATGCAATTGGACTGTATAAGTCGATAGGCGTAAAAATTGCAATAAATGTTTCATAAAATGTTGTTATTATTATCATTAGTAGTGTTATATGTGTTGCGCTGTGATTTCAGTGGTGTGTTGCTGGACAGTGTGTGTTTTCCATAGATGCACCAGAACAAAACAATAGTAAGTATACGTTTACACATAAGTCAGAGGAACGGCTTCTCGGGAGAATGGGTATGATTCTGACAAACCACGAATCTTAACGAAGGTGAATCTGTGAATTCGAATCCACTAGCAGGGATGCAACTTTGCCAAATGTGTCGTAGCACATCAGACCACCAATCGATACATTCCGATACAATCGATACGTGATGAAAACTTGGCAAAAAAAACATTCAATGTTCTTCTATACTGACAAAAAACAGTGTACATAATATTATTTAAAGAAGCAAAGGAGCATCTGAAATGGTAGTGATAGTCATATTGCCATGGAACAGTCACAAAATAAATTAATGATTATAAATATTCGATATTCTGTATTTCAATTCGAGTATGTCACACGGTGAACAAAAACAAATGTTTGTCGTCAGAACATTAATACAGGATACAAATTTAAGAAACAGTAAGTGGTACTTGACTTTTTTCTTGGTGTGTATTCTTACCTCGTCAGAGCAAACCATGATATCCTGGACGACATCTTTTCCTTGAATACAATGATCACTTTCGGACACCTGCCATTAATTTCAGCTGACTGTCTCTTTGGGAACCAGCCAATCGTGTACCCGGGCAATAGAACATGTGCTGAGCTGATAGGTGCAACACCACGTTTGTGCTACAATCCTGGTAATTTGACTGCCTGCTGTGAGACCTGTCCTGTTTACAAGAGAAATGACGGTACTTATTTCTTAATGATAGTAGTCTCTCGATAAGTCATTTCAAGCATATTGTACAGAATGTGTTTAACTTTATTTGGCAATATTTCTAAGTATAAATCTAATGAGCTTTACAACTACATGTTTCATGTATTCGATATGTACAGAGAAAATATCATGTTCCAATGGGGAATACTTTGTAATGGTGCTGTCTATGGGATCGTGGGTGGAGTGAGGTGGTGGTGGTGGGTTGGGGGTGGGGGTGACTGAGCTGATATTTTTGTTGCAGCAAATAGTTTGTTTTTGAAAAAGAATTAATCAACGGCAATATCAGTTCTTTTTTACATGCTGGTTTTCCGGGAAAAATGAATTGTGAGCAAAGAGTTTACGCTGCTTTTCTGTTCTAGAAACAATTCTAACAAAACATCTACCTCTGGTACATATATAAATCATAAATCCTGTATTTTGGCTTCAATCACACTTACTAAAATGTTAAGATTTTCAACAGACGTCCTTCTCATTGTCAATCACACAAATAGTTGTCGCCAAGTAGTCTCGAAACTACCCAAGACATGAAGCCATAATGGCGGCAACATCACTTTTTTCTGTGTGTGCTGGAGTTAACTCCCACAGTAATATGGTCAGGGGAGATACTCATGAAAACTGCATGAAGTGCAGAGGTATGACCTGCACCAAGGAGAAGAGATGTGAGTAATGGAGGTAACACATCCGAGAAGATCTTTCTCCAAGATGACCGAGGCCGTGACTCTGGCAAGGACTATCCGATCTTCTTCCACGGCCGTAGGCCCATCTACAATAGACCAGCAACCTGAGCAGTACGGTCAGCCAACCGACCAGCCGTGTGGAAGCCAGCAGGGGTTACCCAACTGAGGGAGAATACCGTACGGGAACGGCACGGTATCCATGGACAGGCCGTCCACGGCAACCAAGCCAGCCAGCCACACCAGCCAGACGCTGAACGGTGACACGGACTCCATGGGCCAGCCACCCACGGCTACCCAGCCGACCGACCACGGCTTACCGTATGACCTTTATCAGCCAACGGTTCCCAAGACAGCCGCACGGCCCACACGGGATTACCCAGCCGGCGTAAAGTACAGCAACCGCATGGCTTCCGCTATCCACGGACCACAAGCCACAGAGAGACAGATTATACCGGAATCATGGTCACCGGAGCGTGACGAAACCTACGGTATATACGCAGAATGCGACAATTATCCATTATATCCATTATCCTGGCTATGTCTATGGACTGCGTTTTACGCCTATCGTGTTTCAACATAATGCCGAATCCGGGCCCACTGGGAAGGCGTCTACTGTCATACACCAAAAATTGGAAGCAGGTTATGCCCGCCCACTGGATTCCACACGTCGTGGATCACAGATACAAGCTACACTTCAGGAAACACCCGATCCTGAACACACATGCCGTGGGCCGAAGATATCACCTGGCCCGAGCCAAGGGTTTTTACTCTCTGGTCTTCTGGAAAAAAATACAACCGAGATGAGGATGATTATAAATTTACAAACCCTCATCAAGAGATCTGGTACCAAAATTCCAGATGGAGTCCGTACGGAAATTATGGTCTAGGTTGAAGAAAGGGGACTGGCTTATCCGCCAAGACTAACAGATGCATATCTTCATGTCTCGAGAAACCCATCCTCTTGTAAGTATCTACGCTTCAATGGTCGACGCTACGAATTCCAAGTCCTACCATTCGAGATAGCAATAGAGCCTTGGCTATTCACCAGGATTACAGCACCAGTCATCAAGTTCGCTCACCTCCAGCTAGTTCGAATCTAAAGCTATCTGGGCGACTTCCTAGCGGCAGACCAAGGAAAAGATCAGCTACATCAGAACATGATATTCATGGTCCAACTTATGACCTACCTAGGCCTTCTAGTCAATCCATCCAAGTCAGAGACTACTCCGGCTCAAGACATTATATATATCAGAGTAAGATTCCAGTTAGACAGGGGATATCTATGCTCATCGGAGGATCGATTCGATAAGTCTATAGAGATGATTCAATCACTTTCAAGTCAACCCAGCAAGTCGCCGAGGTGGTATGTCTCTTCAAGGCAACTGTACGTCTCTACAGGTTATGATCTTCAGAGGAAGGCTGATGCTACGTCCTCTACAGACATGTGTCAACTATATACGATCTCACGGCCAAGAGTTCCTGACTCAGTTAACTCCCAGATTACTATGAGACCTCCATTGGTGGAATCCCAGAGAACATGTGATGAGTGGCATCCCTCTGATATATCCGACGCAAGAGCACCATATATTCACAGACGCGTCTGATTCGGGATGGGGAGCCCATATGGACGATCTCATAGTACAGGGATCGTGAAACACAGAGGAGAAAAACCTTCATATCAACTGCAGAGAAATGAAGGCCATATATAACGCCATCCTGGAATTGAGGATATGTCTTCATCTGTCATCTGTTCTCATAGCCACGGACAACACCACTGTAGTGGCCTATATTCAGAAGCAGGGAGAAACCAGACCCATCACCCTGATGATGAAGACTACACGATTGTTTGCCTGGGCAGACTCCTTCATTTGCTGGATCGAAGCGAGACATATACCCGGGAAACGGAACAAACTGACCGACAGTCTTTCGGGGGAGAATAGTGGCAACAGAATGGACATTACATCCCCAGATCTTCACCTGGATAAACAAGGTTATGGGACATACCACATATATATCTATTCGCCACCTGCCAGAACAACCAACTTCCGGTTTATGTCAGCCCAGTTCACGTCCAAAGAGCTCACCGGATCGACGCTCTTTCGATGGATTGGACCAATCTATTCGCCTACGCATTCCCACAATGGTCTCTCCTTGACAAAGTCATCCACGAGGTGGAGGAGACAGATTGTGTAATAATACTGACAGCTTCAATATGGCCCAGCAGGGCGTGGTTCCCCAGACTACTTAAGCTACAAATGGAGGAACCTATACAGTTACCACTTCGTCCAGCATATTTCACGAAAATCTGCCCAGTCTACATCTAGCCTGGAAGTTTTCATGCAGAAGATGCAGACATCCGTATAATCTGAACTTGCCTCAGAAGCTGTGGCAAGTTCGGGGAGACCTTCATCCCCCGATACCCTTGATTATCATTCTGCATATCAGGTGTAGGTAGTATAAGAAGCACCTCAAATATCAACTATCACCATTAGACCGGAAGTGACTTCATTACCGGAAGTGAGAGAATAACCGAAAGTGACGTCAGCACCGGAACAAAGTTGCTAAATGACACCTTTCGGGTAGAAATAGACCTAGAAAGACGTCATCACCAAAAGGGGGAAGTGACAATCCGGAAGTGAGGTCATAACCGGAAGTGGGGTAATAAACGGAAGTGACGTAATCGTCGGTATTAAAAGTCACAAATCCAGATTTATTTACGATCAAGATCAGCAAATATGACGGTAAATCTAGTGTGAATATCACATATTTGACTGATTCTTGACACAGTATCTGATTTTCAAGTCCTTAAGGGGAATTTCAGAGGAAATTATCTCAAGTAGGATTAGAATCAGTACATAATGGTTTCCAGAAGAGTTTTGCTGTCACTTACGCAGGGGTCCCTCTGGTATATTCTGGTAGATATGTAACAGAGGTAGAAGCTTCGTAAGAATTATTGAACAATGGTTTATCATGGCTATTCTAAATATACTGCCTCTTTTACATACGAATTACTCCCTCCCATGCCTCGAATTCGTCTGCCTCTAGAAGTAGATGAAAGTGGTGTTGCCACAATTATTAAGTGATGGCATGGGTAGTTACGAGACTAATTGGCGACAACTTATTGTTTGATTGACAGTGAAGAGGACGTCTGTTGAAATCTGAAGATTTTAGTTAGTGTGATTGAAGCCAAGATTTATGGCAGAATTGTAATAGAGGGAGAAGCTTCGTTAGAATTACAGAACAAAAGTTTATCATTGTTAATAATTAAAAAAATACCACCTCTTTACATACGAATTACTCCCTCCCACGTCTCGAATTCGTCTAACTCAAGTAGTAGATGAAAGTGGTGTTACCGCCATTATGACGTCATGGCTTGGGTAGTTACGAGACTACTTGGCGACAACTAATTGTGAGATTGACAGTGAAGAGGACGTCTGTTTAAAATCTGAAGATTTTAGTTAGTGTGATTGAAGCCAAAATGCAGGATCTATGGCAGATATGTAATAGAGGTAGTTTTCTTAGAATAATTAACAATGATAAACTATTGTTCAATAGTTTAGTGTTTAGAAACAAGAACCAAACAAAACTCGAAATCCTCTTCCAAAATGTGAATTGAGGATACAAGTACCACGTGATAATCCAGTACGACATCCACTCCTCTGTGGTACTCAGCACGTGGTTTACGTACCTCCCCTACGGTTTGTGTCATTTGGAATGTTGCCATCAGTGTCTGTTGAACATGGACATATTGACTGATGTGTTAACCAACGGGTCATCTTCACGATTAAGATACGTTTGTATTTATTTGCCTCATATTTCTTATGTGTACTTGTATATTTCGTTTGTTCTAGAAAACTGCCCATATGGAGATCGATTTAGAAACTGTGACACATTAACTCAGGACACGAAACGTTTATGCTACGTTGAAGGAAATGCCAGGGGTTGTTGTGAAACATGTCCACTTTTCAAGTCGGCAGTAGGTAAGTAATGATAGAGACCTTTAGACGGTTTGAGTTTCGGAGAATCTTATAAATACAGACACTGGTAAGTCGAAAGTTTGCATACTGAAATGTGAGGTTGAAATCATTAAAATGTTAATTTGTTAACGTTAATGAGTGGCAGTAAGTTATTCTATGGAATAAAATACTTTTTAAATGATTAGATGTCTTTCACCAATTCCAAACTGGGATTATCCCCCCTTAACATACAATCAAAATACTTGATTTAATACCGGATCTGTGACCAAATTCATCAGTCCACTGTATCAGTTCAATGTATCAGTTCAACGCATCAGTCCAATGTATCAATTCAATGTATCAGTCCAATGTATCACTTCAACCTAATCTATTAGTCCAGTGTATAGGTCTAATGAATTAATTCAATGTAGAAGTCCCCTATATTAGTCCGATGTATTAATTGATTGCATCAGACCAATTTATCAATCCAATGTATAAGTCAATTGTTTTAATCCAATGTACCAGTTCAATGTACCAATCCAATGTATCAGACCAGTATATCAATCCAATGTATCAGTCCAGTGTATCACTCAAATAAATGTGTCCACTATATATGTCGAGTGTATCAGTCAAATGTTTACGTTCAAGGTTCAAGACAATGTGTGTATTTCTTCAATCTTCATATTATTGAATTGTATGTTTTCCAGCAAATTGCACATATGGTGATCGTTACTCTGACTGTGACACTGGTATTACTCAGGAGCAGAAACGTCTTTGTTACAATGAAAACAATACTTATGGCTGTTGTGAGACTTGCTCAGCCTACTCGTCAGGAGGTGGTAAGTACAGACAATAGGGGTTTTGGTGAGGTCTGGTTTGGGTTTTGGATGATTTAGTCAATCATTCAAGTTGTAGTTTATAAGGATTATATAAGTCTAAATCTCATTTTCGAGTTTCTGCAGTTATCATTATTAAAAGTTATTGGACAGGCCGTAAGTTTTTTTTATTTGAGCACAAAGGATTGGCCTCATACATAACATACTCCTGATCATCGAAATTAAGGGATTTCCTCAACTTCTAATCTGCAACATTTAGGTTATTGACGGGTACATATATCATAGTTGCAAGGGTGTTGCAGACCGCCTCCGTGGTCTTATGGTAGAGCGTCCGCCCGGAGAGCGGAAGGTACGGGGTTCGATCCCCGGCCGCGTCATACCAAAAAGACGTTAAAAGATGGTACTTGTTGTTTGTTACCCTGCCTGGCGCTCGGCATTAAGGGGCTAAAATCAAGGACTGGTCGGCTCGGAGTCAGTATACTGTGTCTGAGTGGGGTATTCGTGTTAAACTGCAGCATGGTATCTCAATGTACTAGCACTATAAATCGGCATCAGTCCGAAATAGTACAAGCAGCCACACACACACGTGCATGCATGTCGCTTTATAAGTGCAATAATCTTGGAGGCGACGTTAAACCCAATTTCACCTCATCTCACATAGGTGTTGCCTTTCGCTCCCAGTAGCCACCTGTGGGTAGAAACGTTTATTAATTGTTTTTGTATATTCATGTTTACAGTTGTATTATGATCTAATGTTTGATAGAATTGAGGAAGTTATGGGTAACCTACAGAGCATTATGGCTCATTAGTTTATAGTAATATATCTACTAATAACTGCTTCGTAGAAACATCAAAGGTTTATATTTCTGCAAACTGTTGACCATTGTCAGTATTATCATAAGTTAGCATTTTGACGCTACTCTATATTTACCTCTCCACTATGTTTCCTCTACAGGAAACTTAAATCATGTATCCTTATATTAGGAACTTTTCAGAAAGGACCACGTGTAATCAGTCACAATATTACAACATATCTATTAACAGTTTTATTTTGTTTCAAATGGTCATGGCAGTCATGTTGGATTTAGTTGGTGGTGAAATATGTTATGGTACAATACTTTGAATACTTTAACCCAAAGTGTGTATTTCTTCCGTATTCTGATTTTGGCAGGTGTAATTACACAATGCTAACCATTGTCAATATTAACATGAATCCTAACACAATTCTGCTAATCTTATGAACTATTCAGAATGGATCAGATATTATCAATCACAATATTACAATTGGTTTATTAACAGTTTGACATGCAAAGCTTCATGCCTTTAACACAATGTGTGTATTTCGTCAATATTCATATTATTGAATTGTATGTTTTCCAGCAAATTGCACATATGGTGATCGTTACTCTGACTGTGACACTGGTATTACTCAGGAACGGAAAAGTCTTTGTTACATTGAAAACAATGCCTATGGCTGTTGTGAGACTTGCTCAGCCTACTCGTCAGGAGGTGGTAAGTACAGACACTAGGGGTTTTGGTGAGGTCTGGTTTGGGTTTTGGATTATGATCTAATGTTTGAAAGAATAGAGGAGCCATCGGTAACCTACAGAGCATTATGGCTCATTAGTTAAAAGTAATATATATACTAATAACTGCTTCGTAGAAACATAAATGCTAGATATTTCTGCACACTGTTGGCCATTGTCAGTATTATCATAAGTTAGCATTTTGACACTACTCTATATTTGCCTCTCCTCTATGTTTCCTCTACAGGAAACTTAAATCATGTCTACTTATATTAGGAACTATTCAGAAAGGACCACGTGTAATCAGTCACAATATTACAACATATCTATTAACAGTTTTATTTTGTTTCAAATGGTCATGGCAGTCATGTTGGATTTAGTTGGTGGTGAAATATGTTATGGTACAATACTTTGAATACTTTAACCCAAAGTGTGTATTTCTTCCGTATTCTGATTTTGTTTCGGTTGATTTCGTCAATTAACACCAACTGATTTTTATAACTCTAAATCTAAGCTTCAACACTAAAGTGTCTGATATATGCCAGTTTATAATTTTTACAATTACCATCCACAGGAATGGGCAATGGTCATACAATATATTTATCATTAAGGCAGTTAATTGTAATGATTACAGTATGCTGTACTCATCTTATGATAGTTACTTTTCTTCTTGATCAGATGTCAGTTACAAAAAGCTGCATATACGGTGTTGCTTGAATACATACAAAAATAATCCATACTGAAGTCCAGATTAATGCGCCAGCTTTTATTTACAAGGTGAATGATGATGGCCCCACCGTATTATTACCCCAGTGTTTGGATCAATGTACACTCACATTTCATTTTCACATCCCTGGGGAGTACGTATTCCAAGCCGTTGTATCAGGCTCCAGAAGTTTGACAAAGACATTACCTTCTCGTCGTACCGGATAACCAGTCACTTCTCCTACAAACATCCTTATACTCTAACAATTAAGAAAAAAACTCACAATTTTCGGTTTTTTTAAAATAAGGAATCCAGTTCACATTCGAGTTCCATCACACAATGAAGAATATTTGATGATATGTAGGTAAGATAGATAGAGAGAGGTCCATGGTTTTCCTTGCTTCCTGAACAACGAGTGTCACTATTGCAGTTTATTAGACTGTATAGCATGTCCTAACACCTCTAAAACCTGAAGGCATGTCAATTCCTCTTTTGTACTGGATTCCAAAGCTCCATAATTGTTGTCTGCAGCGCATGGCCGTCCGTCATCGCAATGTCTGGGTACCGTTTCACAAAGCAGTCGTAAGCCTTACGTGCGTGTAAAACTGGCGTAACTCGGAAATACTGAACTAGGGGCGTTTCACAAAGCTAGTGTAATATTACGTCCGTGTAAAATTGGCGTAAACTCTACGTGTGGTCTTGGGGTGGTGTAAATATTTACGCAAGCGATAAAGATGGCGATCAATCCAAACACGGACGAGATTGCCAAAAAAGTATGTAAGCGAGAACGTGTTTTCCGCGACAGGTCGAACCCCCTCGACGATTTGGATGATCATGACATCATCGAGAGGTACCGCCTATCACGACACTTGATATTTTCTATCATTGGTAAAGTGAGTGACAGACTTGAACATCAAACCCAGCGTTCCCATGCAATACCACCTTACCTTAATGTTTTAATTGCTCTGAGATACTTCTTCAAGGGTGGATTTTACAGTGAGATTGCCGATATCCACTGTGTGAGTAAATCCTCTTTCTGCAGAGCAATCCACGCAACAACAGACGCATTATGTGCAACCATGGGTGATTTTGTATTTCTCACAATGCCTTCCACTGAGAAGAGTACCAAAGAATCATTCTTCGACACAGCTGGATTCCCTAAAGTACTCGGTGCAATTGATTGCACACTCGTACCCATAATGGCGCCGAAACGTGACGAAGTAGCCTACGTTTGTCGGAAGGGTTACCATGCACTGAACATACAGGCAGTATGTGATGCCAACATGAGGTGAGATACATACACACATGGTAGATATGAATTTTATCATGAATCAATTATTCCTATTCCTCTTGAACAAGGCACGACAAAATGTAAACATTACAACATGAAATAGATGTCCTTGACATTGACGCATGCTGCGCCCCCTAGGTAACGTTTTTGGCGAGTTAAGTCATGATGCATACCAGTAAAAATGAATCCATTGTGATAATGTTTTCAAATTTCCATTGTTTCCATGTAGAATAACTGTTCCATAATTGAAATGTGAATTCATAGTGTTTATTTGTAGGCAGATGTAGATCTCTAAATGAGCTTTATAAAGTTATGCATGTGCATTTTAAATACTGGATTTCTGTTGGATTTATATGGATATAAATTGTTATATTTTTCTGTGTGTTCAAGTGGCCTGGCTCTCTCCATGACAGTTACATATGGAATAACTCTGCCCTTGGTCAGTACTTTGAAAAGAAAAATATTGATGGATGGCTACTTGGAGACTCTGGGTAAATATAACTACAACATATATACCTTACAATGTGTGATAAACAAATCTGACAAAACTGCACTTAGTAAAATATTGATGATATTTTGATGACCTGTCTGGATATAGTGTTATCCTTATTACTTATGTTACAGATACGCCTGCAGACCATGGCTGCTGACCCCTGTGCTCAATCCCAGCTCGGAAGGACAGGAGAAATACAATAGATGTCATATCAAGACACGGAACACAATAGAGTGAGCATTTGGCTTGTGCAAGTACGGTTTTAAGGGGCAACAGTAAGTTGGTAATGTAACCAAGAAATTATTGTAAGTGAAATAATTAAATATTGAAGGTACAGTTATGTAGTCGGTATAATGCTCCCCAGCCCAAGGAGGTGTCATGCTTACCCAAAGTTTTTTCCTGAAGCCAAGTAAAGACAATATTAGTGGAGATGTAAAACATTTAATGTTTTCAACAGAATGGAGTAACATCATCTGCTCATGCATCAAGCGCACACGGCAACATTTCTTACACACTTGTACAGTGAAATAACAGTGCTTTCATATACAATCTGTAATCATAAATCTTATATGTACATGATACATGAAACTTGGAATAAAACTTGGAATACTTCTTATATCTTCAATCTTACATCTTGACTTAAGGGTATCTTTAACATTGCATTCTTAGTACTTAAGCTTAACCCTTAACTTAGACTTGACATTCACAAGCTTCTTCACTGTTATGACAAAGTAAGAATATCTTGTATAGGCTTATTGTGTCTTGAACGACTATCACTTGCCTAACATTCAAATACTGAACAGAGTTCTGACCCATTATGCAACTTCATAAACATTGACAAACATTCATTAAACATATGAACATGAACTGGAAATAACTTGAAATACAACCTTGAAACTATTGACAGAATTTATATCCAACTTACTAAAAGTACATACTGGAGATATGAATTTACACTCTTAAATTGTCCTGGCAACACCCTTAAAACTAGATAAAGAAATACTGTACATTCTATCATTGACAATATTCCAAGCAGTAATAACACTTGAAACTTGTAGCATATAACTTGGACTCCGTCATCTGAAACATCACCCATTGATAAGATAACAAAGACATTCATTCTAAATTATCTCCCTTGAATTACTAAATCACCTTCATGGAAACATTCAGATGCTTATATCAAAGGCATACATTCATCAAATATACTGACAATATAAACAACATATACATCACTTGAAATTAGTACATAAAACTTCACCATGTTTGCCAGTGAAAAGAATAATGAAGAAATTCAACTTTTGCATTATCTCCCTTGGATTACTAAATAATTGACATGTAAATGTTTAGCATAGAAAGAGATAAACAATTCTTAAAAAACTCCTGATGAAATATTAATAAAGATATTTATGAATTATTGATGAAAAACAATGTTATAAACAAAGTTCCAAAATATTTAGAATATTGATAATATTTTTGTTAAATAATATATATATATATGATGATGATAATGAAAAGAATTTAATTTATACATTTGGAAAAAGGATGATGAAACACTTACAATGAATTTTATTCAAAATGAGACAAACAAGCCTTTAATAAAAACAAAACTTATTTCAAAGAAACTATCACAGTAAACCTTGAAATATCTACGCATACTTCTGATTAAACTGATAACTACTTGACAAACCTATCTACATGATCTAGTAATACTTTGACAACATACTCAAGTAAATCAACCTTTCAATACATCATACCTCATAACCACTTCGGAGTCCTGACACTATTGTACGATAACTTCAGAGTGGCACAATTCCATTACAATATTTATCTTGAGAGACAATCACAAAGCATAAGGATATAATGGAAACTTACTCTATTTTGCAAACACATGACTTGCTAAACACTTGTCTCAAGATACAACAAACTTTGAACGAAAACATTTTCACGCTACAGATTTGTTTACTTCCGCTCAGCAGCAAAGGGAAATAACTCTCTCACACATACAGGCAATACTGCTAAGAAATTTGACTTGACGAAATGACATAAATTCTCATCAAATTAAACTTATTCCTATCTAAACTTATCTGAACTACAGAAATATTCATTTCCATACATTTCTACCATAAGCTAATAGACAACTTCAATATATCTATGCTATTTATGCAATAACAACTTTTCTGACCTTGCCGTTCGAGCAGACGAAAAACTTCTATGCATTGGGCCGACAATAATCATGAAATAGAAACTATTTAATAGTGTTAATTAACATGATATTGCTAACAATTAAATGTTTATATGCTTATGAGATGGAAGGTGTGTATTTTGTGCATTGACAACTCACCTGAAGCCAAATAAAGACAATATCAGTGGGGATGTAAAACATTTAATGTTTTCAACAGAATGGAGTAACATCAACTGCGCATGCGTCAAGCGCACATTGCACCGAAGATGCTATTTACGTCCAAACCACTAATATATATGAATTTGAAATGGACTTCTGGTGAATTACAATATTGATAAAATATGTGACAATTGTACTTCTTTACAGTTACAGGAGGAAAACATGTAATAGTATCTATTCATGGTATCATTGTTGAAAACTTGAAAAAAATGGAGTTACTTCTTATCACAAATTTAGCTTTTTTTTAAGTTGTTGTAGTATTCCGAGAGAATTGTTAAAAAACATTATCAACTTAATTTTGAACAAACTGATAGCCTGTCTAACAGGGGTCTGTGAAGAAGTTGGGAAAATAAAAAAAAATGTGTTTCATCACATTTCCAGATGCCTTCACAAGACAACTGGTGTCTCACAATTCACCCCAGAAAGGAGTTTGTGTGTTGTCCGGGCTTGCTTCTTGTTGCATAACATGTGCATCAATGAAAGAATACCACTTCCCCAGGGCATTGAGCTACTCAGAGGAGAGGGAACTGCCACAGAGTTGCCATGTGCAGCTGACTTCCCAACAACAAGCTCTGGTTGTGATGGACTGTCAGCAAGACATCAATTAATTCTGCATAAGTTCACTAAAATTACAGCCTTAAGCTATTGTTTTCATCATTTATAATAAGCACAAGAATATAAATCATGACATGTAAGTGACTTTCTACTCTGTATTACTAGACAGTCATAACTTAAGTTCAAACAAAGTCACATGAATGTTTGTGTGAACTTGGTCATGCACATTCATACTGTAATCCTCCAGTAGTCGGTGTATTGCAGATAAACTCTCCAATAGTTAACAACTAATGTTCACCCTCCAATAGTTATCAACTTATGTTCAACCTCCAATAGTTCTAAACTCCATTACCCGATCATGTCAGTCGAACCGTGTTTGTGATCTTTGAAAGACAAAACGTAGAAACGCACCCGCTCAATCAGTTAAGGAACTACGCTCACCATTGGTTTGCACGTACCAATCGACGTTCGCACGTTACCCTGCAACATATAACCTGGTTTTGCAGACTTTTCTTCTGAAATGAAATATGCCGTCGTGATATAACTGAAATTCTGTATTTAAAAAGGGCGCTTGACTCCCAAAACAAGAACCGTCCTGTATATGTGTTAACACTATAAAACTACCATGATTTCTGACCTCTGATCATGAGGTAAATGAAACGGAGACACATTAGAAATAAATTTATTTCAGAAAGACAACGGCAAAGTTGCCCAATCTGGTAATACCAGTTTTATGGATTTTTGTGCTGCACTCTCGGCTGTAGTTGTTTCAGTTACTGCGAGAGTTGACGTTTCATCCAGAACCGCTGTAGGTTGGTTTGTTGGTTGGTTTGTTGTTTTACGCCGCACTCAGCAATGTTCCAGCTATATGACGGCGGTCTGAAAATAATCGAGTCTGGAACAGACGATCCAGTGATTGATATCCTGACAACCCGGTCGCCTTTTACGAGAAGCACAGTCGCCTTTTACAGCAAGCATGGGTTGCTGAAGACCTATACTACCCCGGATCTTCACGGGTCACCGCTGTAGGTGTCAACATTGCCTCAGCCGATGTAGAGGCAGTGGATGTCAACGTTTTCGAAGTTGAGATAGTATTGCGATGAGGCGATCGCGATCAGTTCATAAAACGTATTTCCCCGATATTTTTCGCCCTTTAGGTTTCGTACTTCCACCAAGAAACGCATGAGAGTTTTTATTAATATCTGTTTCACGATGCGAAAGAGCAACACTGTCGGGGTTTAACACGACGTCATCACGTAACCCATGGGATTGTCTTTCCTTGACCCGCGCTTGGAAGACCATGACGGCCTATCTACTCTTGTTTTCTGTGTTCTGAGAAAAAGCCGAATTACAATTAAGACTTTGAAGATCTTGCTCTGACACAGGCTTGCTAAACGGTTAGGAATTCCAAATAATATCTGCGTCATCAATGTTATGAGTTGTAATGGGAATTTGTATGGCCTGGGGAATACTTGCTTGTACGTGTTGAGAGAGTTCCACCAAATCTGTATCATTTCCAGACAACTCATCTGATTCCAAGATATCACTATTACCCACATCAAAATCTGGTACAGCCACGTCAAGTATTTCAATATGAGCATTAATGAGTCTTTCAAAATCTGAGTTAAATGCTGCCTGGTACGAGCTCGTAAAATGACTTTGTGTAATGAATGTTCATCACGTACAAAGACTGAAAGCTAAATGAGAAATCGCACGTCCTTTTCGGCGCTCATATAAGACGAGACATCCAATAGTTTTGCGTTCATGCGCGCAGTTCCTATTGATTGAGCATAAACAAGAACGACCCTCCATTATATATGCACGTGCATATTGGGTGGACATTAGTTTAACATGTATTTTGAATGGGACTTTGTTTTAAGTTGGATATGGTCCTCAAAGTCACGATTATTTTTGCACGTGGGGCAAGTTCTCGGCCTAACGGCCTCGAACTGACCCCATGTGCAAAAATAATCGTGACTTTGAGGACCATTTCCTACACATAATTTCAAATTATACAAAAATATAAAATACACAGCATGATCAAAAGAATTTTATTATTGGGGATACATTTTGGCCATTAAGTAGAGAAACATGTACAAATTCCCTGAGAAGCTTTAGCTTCTCCTCCTCAATCTCTACTCTTCTGTTCTCAGCCAAGAGAATCTAGCTCTGTACAGCTATTAATTGCTGTATTGCGTCAGCAACTGGATCTGGTCCTGTAATAAAACATTGTCTAAATCAATATTGCAGTCTGGTGCATTTTAGGGGTTTATGTAAAACTCATCACAGCTTGATATTCAGCCACAATTATGCAGCAAATGTAAAATTACAAGATTTTATTTAAATAAAACAAATCCTCCATGCATGTTAACAAACTCATAACTTGACTTAACCCTGAAAACAGGACCGATGAATAGGAAGATATTTTAATGTCTGTTTGTACATTAATATTGCATTCAATTTGACTGCCAAGGGCACTTAATTTGGAATCCTGGATAAATTCCTACATTCATTATAAAGAAAATCATTAAACAATTTCAATGTGACTAACAGTGCCAAGTGCCTAACACCTTTGAATCTACAAGCCCCAACTTGACCCAGAGCATCATTATCAGAAATTATTGTGTTATATGGATAAGTTTTACCTGATCTTTCTATACTGAACACAATGTTACCAGATTCGAGCTTCTGACATGTTGCAGAAGTCGCTGATTGCACTTATAATTTAATAAGAGGTAATTTTAACTTTGTTCTGTTCACATATTGATAAACTGATAAAAATGTGTGACTTAATGTTGCATAAATCTTTACCTTTTTCACCTTGTGCTTTTCTAGCTGTGATGTCTGAAAATAAAATGTTTGAGCACATTTATAATATATTTTGTACAGTACATTGTTCAAAACTGACAAATGTCTCTGATATTGGAGTACAATGACTGTGTTGATGCCAAGTTATTAATAACTATATATGTATTATATTATAATATGATGTGATTTATTGGTAGAAGATCAATACCTTCCATCATAATTGCAGTTCCTGTCCCTGCTGGGGTGATACACATTGATTCTGTTGTGTTGCAACTGACTGTGTCTATGAAAGAAAGACAAATAAAGCTGTCCATCATCAAAAGTAACTCAATTTGTGTGGCTAACATTTGTATCTCCCGACAAAATAAATAAAGCAATTTGAAGCTGTCACATGTATACAGGTTTTATGACCTGTCCATGTCAGTATTTAGCATATCATCAAACAAATGGGTTTGTTTTAAATTTGTTTGCTCTATAAATATCTTACAGAAAATCAATGTTACTATGAATATCTGAGTTGAGTATCTGTTTTGATAGGACCAAATAACTAAAACATCAACTGGTCTTATAATGATTTTTTTTATGTTTGCAATAGATATTATAATGCTTTATCTCAACTTATTTAATACATAAGGTCACAAACATTCCAAAAACTTATATTTGCGTATTATTTTTAATATATGCCTACCATTAAAGTCACCGGTTAATGAAGATGTAGCCATTGCTGCTGTGCTCATATCAGGATCAGCCTCCAAAGCATAGTCCAGAAAAGACCAATCAACTTGAAATATAAATGGTTCAACACATGAATGATGACTTAAGTAAGTTTGCTTATCTGGGAGCATATCAATGAGTTGACTATGCCATGAAGATAATGAAAAAAAACATTTTTATGGTTTGTGAACCACAGTCACTATACTTAAATCAGCACTGTTAAGAGGAATGGCGTGGAAATATTTACCTCCCGAATCAAATCCTCCAATAATTCCTTCAATCTGGCAAGGAGGAACTATAATCTATAATTAAAGAAATGAAGAACACAGTTACTTCATGAAATATGAAACAAGTAAATAACTAAATGGTATCAGTATTTTGCATAAATATTTCCCCTATGCCAGTAGAAATAAAGTCAATTTAAGCCTTTATAAGTCTGTTATATCATTCTATATAACACAAATAACTAAGAGAGGTAACATTTGTTTGTCTAGGTATCATATCACAATTTCTAGCCCAATCAATATGTTCAAGCAATGAGACTATTACATATGATCTGACATATTCTTCCTGTTGTGTTTCATACCTTCTGTTCAACAGTAGTGAGTTGTGTAGGAGGGCCACCTACACCAGTTCTCACAATCTCCTTCCTCCTTGTCACCTCCTTCTTCTTGGCTGCAGCCCTGAGGTCCTGCCATTTCTTTTTCAGCTGAGGCACAGTCCTTACCTCCGTGTTATTGGCGTTGATCCTGTAAACAAAAATTATTTCAAAATCATATAATATGTTTTTCTCGATGTCACACATGATTGACAATTGCCTTGTTGTTGTCTACCATTAAATATGAAGGTGTTTAAAAATAAGTGATTCTGGCGTTTTTTGTTCCTAATCACTGAGCCGGACATTTAGGAAATTTACCTTTAGTCTATATACAATTTGTTTTATAATGTGAGAAAAGAGATACTTCCGCGACCTTTTATATGTGTGCATACATGTATATGCACTTATGCACAATATTTCAGATATGTATCCCTAGCAATAACAATAATTCCCACCTTTTCAAATTTTGGACTAACAAAGAAATATAGGCCTCTTGCAAGTTCAAGTAGATCTACAGTCACCTTATTTCGCTATTTGTTTCCTTCCGCATAACAACAAGTGCGATAACTCTAAATGGCTTAGGTCTATCACTTACAAATAAAACACATCCTTCACATGGCAAATGTGGGTTCAATGCCGTGAAATGCACTCACTTTGTCCGAATATCCTCCCATATCTTCTTCTTCCGATTGTTTGTGAAAAAGAAGAAAACGATGAAAACAACACATCTGAATTGCTGCCAACTTCTTCTGTAAGAATTTCGACTTCTGTGGCCGAAAAGTTTCTCTTCCTCGATTTCTTGTCGCAAATGTCCTCCATTTTACTGCGCTTCGTCGTCTGCTCAGAGCACCTGCCACGGTAGACAACTCTTGTGCGGATTTTCCTACCTCACAAAGTGAAAGAGCTCCAATCGTATTTTTTACGTGCGTGTAAGTTAGCCGAGGTTACGCCAGTTTTAGTGTAGCTTTGTGAAACAGTCTTAGACTATGGCGTAAACATTGCGCAAATATGGCGTAAAATCTACGAGCGTGTAAATTGCTTTGTGAAACGGTACCCTGGTATCTATAATTTATGTGATGACTTTACATGTGAGAACTGGTCTCAGTGATGAAATATGTCTTATTGTTGACAAGAATAGTTATGCAGAGTTGCATTAATTTACTGTGAATCTTTCCACGAATGGAATCTATGCCTCTTACCACCATGTGCTACCATTGATCATCGGATTCACCAAAGGGTTAAACATGTTCCATCTGTATTGCCTTGGGATTTACTTCCACATTAACCATGGTCTAGAGAAAGGTTTACACGATGGTTATGGTAATCGAAAGACGAACATGCTCGACAATATTGTCAGCAATTAGCAAATATCTGAACGTTTAAACGCTGCTTGATGATGTTGCAGACTGTCCCTATGGCGACAACACGTTGACTGGCCCATGTGCCTATAGCAACTGTATCACTTCCGGTCCCGACTACATTGGAAGGTGTTGTGACACTTGTCGCAATTTTAGGTCACAATCTACCACAACTACAACAACTACTACTGTACCAACAACTACCACAACTACTACAACTACTACTGTACCAACAACTACCACAACTACATCAACAACTACTACAACGACTGCCACAGCTACACCAACAACTGTCACAACCAGTACTGTACCAACAACTACAAAAACTTCACTAACATCTACCACAACTGCACCAATAACTACAACTTTACCAACTACCACAATTACATCAACAACTAGCACAACTACAC